AATGCGGCACAGGTGTTTCTGGTGCTTCTACAACTTGGACCGGTACTCGCATCCTGATTTAACACATATTTGACCTAGAGAGCATCAGGCTGACATAAGGTCTACAGGATCGTAAATGTGATGCTGAGCAGACCTCTGACTCCTTCTGATGATGACATTGACACCCCACTGCCATCACACTTTAACGATGAATATATGGCACATTCACCACCAAACACGGATGCACACACCACTCCAGCACCTACCAGCATATCCCCTTTTCTTCAGATGATTCGTTTGCGCCGCAGTCTTTCTAGAATACACAGGACTTTTTACACCAACATGGCGACTCGTCTACTGTCACTTGAGCAAAAGGAAGCCATCCGGCGCGACTTGCTCAACGAGTTGAACGAATGGAGAGCAAGTAATGATCGCCTTCTACGAGTGGCTCCTAAATCAGATTGCGAGGGTGTTCTGTCTGCTTTCACGGATCGTAGTTGGTACGAGGCCCTCTATCACAATGCGGTGCTTCTACTCTACAGACCATCAACTGCTTTCCCTCACCAAAGTCTAGAAAGCTCTACTAGAAACGATGACATTCTAAGAACGATGTGGAATTCTTCCCGGGCTACAATATACAATTACAGAGAAGTACTCCGAGCCCGCAAACTAAATTATTCCTGGATATGTCTTTATAGCATCTTCATTGCCGGCCTGTCAAATGTTTATAGTGTAGGTCGGTGTGCTCAAAGGCGAGTAACAGACCGAGCCAGCTTTCTGCCATCTGTAATCGATGTTATCGATGATGTCCGTGAATGCTCCAACATTTTGACAGCCATATGCGAGCGATGGGATGATGCTAGAAGCTCGTGCGAGATATTCAGCCGCCTCAGCAACGGAGCCATCAAAGAGTTGCTCAAAGCACAGGCCCTGCCAAGCTCTTCGCTGAATACGGTTCCGATTACAGCTGGTGTTGGCAATAGCACGGTTCCCACCTCAAATCTGGCTTATGAAGCTCCTGCAATGGATTGGAGCAGCTCGGACAATGTTCTGCAAGACTTGAGTCACCCCAGCGCAGAGCAAAGACCACGGCAGGATCAACATCAATATGACAATATACAGGAGTTCCAGCAACTATTTCAAGATGTACAAACTAACTCTTATGAGTATGGGTTTAACGGTTCAAATGAAGTTTTCTTTGGCTTCGACAAGGATTGGTTCGATCAAGTGTGCTGATATTTGTCGGGGTGGTTGCGAGTGCTCTCAGACACAGGTCCTTGTAGATGTTTTGATCAGAACAAAAGAGTGGATTGACCCTTGTTTAGGACTATAGGTTGTCATACGGGTGTTTTGAAGCGAGGAGCCAATGGTCCGGAAATGTGGATTTAGTGGCGATCATATCTTAGCTACGACACGCCTCAAGTGTCACTATATAACCTTCTCTAGTTTAAGTTCCTCTATTTCTTTTGTTTCCAGACCAATCCCTCGTAGAACTTCTTCGGAGTGCTCCCCTAGAACCGGAGGTTTGGTGCGTACTGAGGGCTTGGTTTCACTGAACTTCACCGGGATACCTATGGTTCCATTAATCATCTCTAAAATAACAGTATTGGAACGACCTGCACACATACCGAGAAGCTTAATGTAACCCGACTCTGTGGCATCATGATCGAGTGTCTCGATCATTTTTCGCGCTTTTGCTTGAGGATGTTCAAATACCTGCTGCATGTTGTTCACTGGACCATAGGGCATGCCGCTTCCCTCAAAGACTGCAAGCCACTGTTCCGTGCGTTTGGCCGCAAAGAGTTTGTTTAAAATAGCTGTGAGTGCATCTCGGTTTTTTACCCGCGCATCGTTATCTGCAAATCGAGGGTCACTTGCAAGTTCTTGTTGGCCGAGCCTATCACACAAGATCTTGAACTGCCGGTTGTTGGTTGCTCCCAGGACCAGGACTGAATCGGCAGTCTCGAACGCGTCGTATGGTACGATGCTAGGATGCTTAGTCCCCCATCTCTGAGCCTCCAGGCCTAGATTTAGCCAGGACATAGCCACATTTGCTAGCAATGACACTTGTGTTTCGAAAAGAGATGCATCGATCTTTTGACCCTTCCCTGTGATCTGGCGATTTACTATGGCGGCCAAGATAGCTCCATGGAGGTAAAGACCAGTACACATATCTGTTAGTCCGACGCCCGGCTTAGTTGGTTTCCCATTGCGCTCTCCCGTAATGTATAGAAGACCGCCCTCAGCAGCTGCAATGACATCGTATCCGGCTCTTTTTGCATAAGGCCCACCAGCGCCATAGCCTATTGCCAGTCAACTCGATGGAAATAGTACGTCAACGTTGAAACAAACCTGAGATGCTCGCATGTATCAAGCCTGGATTGTGCTGGCTCAACTGTTCATATCCAATGCCCATTTCATCCATCTTTCCGGGCACAAAGTTGTCTACCCTGTTCATCAAGTCAGTGAGGCATTTATCAACTCCGCCATATAACATACACAACATCGGCATCTTTAGCTAGATTGAATAGAATCTCGCGACCCTTTTTGTGCTTTAGATTCAGCGTGATGGACTTTTTATTGCGATTGATTGTTGAGAAATATGCCGACATGTCGGTTCTGCCCTTCCAAAATCGGTCTTCTCCCTGAGTACGCCATGATCTCGTGTCATCCTATAAGCAAAGTAAGTATCCATTTATTGTGCAAAAACACATTATGCAAAACTCACGCCTCCAACGGGATGTTCAACTTTAACAACATCCGCACCATAGTCGGCGAGGATTTGCGTGCAAAACGGCCCCTGAGATATTAGTCAATTTTCCTGATATTTTATCTGCTCACTTACTGCTAGGACTCTAGTCAAATCAAGAATTTTGATTCCCTGTAAGGGGCCTGTAGGGTTCGTTTGGCTTTGTGATACAGTGCTCCTCTGTCGGCGCTGCACACGCTGGATATGAAGGTTGCATCGTTGGCGAGGTCCATCGAATCGAACTATTGGATGGAAGCCTTGAAGTTTGCGGATCTGCAATGCATTTTTAAGTTCATACGATGTGTAAGATGTACATGTCTGAAATACTCTAACAGACATCGTAGCTTGTGGTCGCGATGAGTCCGCTCTCAGCTGACCCGAACGGTTTCTCAAGGCTTTGGCTTCCTCTCTATCATTTATCAAATACTCGTAGAAGATTAGACCGCTGTATTCAGTTCATCTCAAAAGCTAAGGAGATCAGATTCAGCACTAGTAGCTTCACGGATGCCAGCCATGGTTCCGAGCTGCATCATAAGGCCCGGGACCCACCTCGGTCGCATAATCCCGAGGGCATCATCACCGGAAAGTATCCGCCGAAACCAATTAGCAGGGTTATACCCCTGTCTTCCAGGTGAGCACCCTCGCCTTAAGTCATCGGCGGTAGGTGATAACGGGCAACGCAGCCCTAATGTAAAATATTAGAGACTGTAGGCAATATGCATGCTGCAATCCAAGTTCTTAAAGACGGTGATATTGAACATCGTCCACTTGATGTTGAGAAATAGAGGTTTAGATCGAGCAACACTGCACTAAATCTCGATCATGACCCCATTGACACTCGGAATAGTAAGTAGACCCCGTGTGGCACAGGTCTGATCCTACACTTACTCCCATCACAGTCAAGGCGGATTTCACGCTGCATTGGTCCTCAATGTCGTCGCCTCTTGAATTCGACTACAGGCCCGCACATCTGGACTGGAAATAGATTTGCACATAGCAGAGCTACTGAATACCTTCAGTTGAACGATCCAGATTTAACTGATTCGCAAAGAACTGTTAGGGAGGCTATCGCAAAAATCTGTTCTGACTTCCCCGACGAGTACTGGGCGAAGCAAGAAGAGTCGAAGAAATTCCCAACACAACTGTACGATGCACTTGCAAAGGACGGCTGGCTTGGCATCTGTATGCCCTCGAAGTATGGTGGATCTGAGCTTGGTATTGCCGAAGCTGCGGTTATGATGCAGACTATCTCAGAGTCAGGAGGTGGGATGACAGCCGCATCTTCCGTACACATGAATATCTTTGGACTTGAACCGGTGGTCAAATTTGGGTCTGAAGAGCAACGGCAAAAGTTCTTGGAGCCTCTGATTGCGGGAAAAGAGAGGGCATGTTTTGGTGTGACAGAGCCGAACACTGGGCTTGATACCTTGCGGCTACAGACTCGTGCTGTCCGCGATGGCGACGACTATCTGGTGACTGGTTCCAAAATATGGATATCCACAGCCCAAAATGCCCAAAAGATTCTTCTACTCGCCAGAACAACTCCCCTCGACCAAGTCGCCAAACCTTCTCAAGGCCTTTCACTGTTCTACACTGACTTGGACCCGAAGGTTGTGGAGATCACAGAAATTCCTAAAATGGGCCGCGCTGCAGTAGATACCAACATGCTATTTTATAACGACTGGCGTATTCCAGCTGCGCACCGTATTGGGGCCGAGAATGAGGGTTTCAAGATGATCATGCATGGCATGAATGCTGAGAGAATTCTCATCGGCGCAGAAGCTCTCGGCTTAGGCTACGCTGCGCTTCGAAGGGCAGCCTTATATGCTGGTGAGCGTAACGTGTTTGGACGCCCCATAGGTCAGAATCAAGCCATCCAGCACCCACTGGCGGATAGTTGGATGCAACTAGAAGCGGCGAGATTGGTCATCTATCAAGCTGCAAAAATGTATGACCAGGGGTATCAAGCCGGCGAATATGCCAATGCTGGGAAATACCTAGCTGCAGAAGCTGCATTCCGCGCTTGTGAAAGAGCTGTCATGTGTCATGGTGGAATGGGGTATGCAAAGGAATACCATGTTGAGAGGTATCTTAGGGAGGTATTCATCCCACGTCTCGCACCTGTTAGCCGGGAGATGATATGTAATTATATTGGAGAACGCGTTATAGGATTGCCCAAGTCATATTGATATGAATTAAAATAGTTGGTAAAACATATGGGAAAGTTTTGTTTAGCTATTCATTCATGTATTCCAGTTTTCTTAGCGATGCCTTAGCCATCTATAGGGATGCCATCCGGGTATCGGTTGCCAGACACCTTGAACTTTGCCAGGATATCATCAATCTCGGATAGCTCTTCGTTTGTGAGCTCCCAGTCTTGGGCATTTTCTCGAACTCGAGCCTCGGTCGTCGCGCCTGGAATGGGAATAATGGTAGGCATGCCAGGTTTCTTAGACAAGCCCTTGACCCAGTTTATGGCAAGCTGGGAAGATGTGCAACCTTTCTTCTTGGCTAAAGTTTCAAGTTGCTTTACCAACTCCAGATTGATTGGGAAGTTCTCTGCTTGGAAGCGGGGATAATAACGTCGAGCGTCGTTCGGCGCAAGATCATCTGCGGACCTGAATTGACCGCTTAACATCCCTGAGCCAATAGGCGAATACCTGATAAAAGACGAAGTCAACAAACAAAGCTTTCGCATCAAATCTAAGCACAACTTACGCAACCAAGGGAATGTTACACTCGGCACATGCGGCAGCAACACCATTCTCAAGAACATGTGTTGACCACAAACTGAGTTCAACTTCCACGCATGAGATCTTGGTAATCTTGGCCGCACGTCGAACCGTTGCAGCGCTGACTTCGCTGATGGAAATTCCGCCAATGACACCCTTCTTTATGTATTCATCTTCGAGAAATTTGAAAGTGATTTCAAGTGGTGTCTTGGGATCAACTCGTGCACATTCAAAAATATCGATCTTCTTCGTCCCATCAAGATCTCTGAGGATATTATCGAGGCTGCGCTTGATGCCTTCAGGTGAACCGTCTGGGGTCATCGTGTGGAAGTCGAAAGCGCCTTTGACACTTAGAAGTACTTTGTCGGCATCTTCAGGGTACTGTTTGAAGTATTTGGCCAAGAGCTTGATCGAATTCCATTCAGGAGTCCCGTAGTGCTCTCCCGCATTCCAGAAGTTGCAACCAGCTTCGAGCGCCGTTCTCAAGGCATTCACGGCCTGCTCGGGCGGGATGGGCGGATCATGAGAGACGAGGCCTGTAGTATATCATCAGCAAAATTCGCTCCCAGCGTGCACACCCATACTGACCCATGAGGCCATAGCCAGTTGAGCCGACTTGCTTTCCAAGAATTTCGGGCATGGTGATAACTTTCTCTCTGAAAGGAGGGAATACAGATTACAGAACAGGTGATAATCAGCTTGCGTTCCCAAATGCTGAGTGCTCCTCATAGTTGGCTCACACCATTATATAGGCGCGAGTGTCTAGGGCATGGTGAAATAAAGCAATGCGTCATAAGTTTCAAGACACCGTACAAGTCGAGCAGCAGAGGTCTGCCCGTTGCAATGTCCGCCAGGATAGCGGATAAGATCCTAACTCCGGGCATGATGACTTGTTTCATGATTCGTAATTGTTCACGATGCATCTGCTAAACCTTCGCGAGTTGTCTGTGACTCGCGCGATGTGGGCAGTTATGTACGAGTTGTGGATTAGGGGGTATTACTGAAGATACAGGAATGGCTTTGATTGGCTCATTCCCAATTAGGAAACATTTCTCTCATTGGCTGACCTGAATCACACTGGGCAGTGCTATGGAGCAAAAAATCTGGGCTGAAAATCAGGCAAAAAGGCGCTAGACACTAATCTGGAAGCATCTCTCTCATTGGCTGAAGGAAGAGGCGCCTTGAGATGTTGCATCAATCTGCTCTTTACGAAGCGCCAACCTCCGGATGTTGGCTTGCCAGTCTCTAGCCCGATTTTGCCGTGCGTACACCTCCATGTAATCCATATCGATGGAGGGAGATTTCACCTCCTTAAATCCATATTAGCGACGGAGATTGTCAAAGCCCGTCCGGCAGAGCTACCAAGAAGTATCAAGTGTGGAAGTGACAAGATGACCGTGCCAGTTGGATGTAGCCTTTTTTTCATTGGCATAACTAGCTAAACGTACTAGTCGGCATAGACTTCACTGTGTGCCAAAGCGCTTCTCCAGCCGCGTTATGAAGATTGTTGATCCATGGGAATCGACTGAGGCGTTTATGTAGCTCTGTCCAGTTAGCAATATCCATGGAAGATGTTGCTTTGAGGATTTCGAGGACAACCCAGGGCTGATCTGCGCCGCCCAAGACTGATATCCCACCGATGAAAAGCAGCCATAACAACAGATCATTGTCATCCTCGTCCAAGCCTCGCTTGATCACTTCTTTAAGACATTGGCCAACGAGGCCATATTTCAAGAAACGACGGCGTCCAATTTGGATGAACAATGTCGTCAAGAATACAATGAGACCTATATGATAGGCTGCTTCCAACTTCATACCCAGTGGGGAATCACCTAAGGCATGAAAGCGAACAAGGCGGTCCCCGATTGAGATAATTATTTCTTGGAATACTACCGGATCCAGTTTCGACCCAGCATCGATCAAATTGAACAAGCAAGCCACGTTAGTGACGTCAAGTAGTATTTGCTGAAGAGAGGTGTTCATGCTATTGAGCCGCGATCCATAATTGATCAGGGTTCTGTTCATGAAGAAGCCTTCCGCTGATAGCATCTCGGCAACTTCAGGCATGCGGTCTCGATAGAAGCAGGTTGTCGTGCCCCAGTGCAGTGCAAAATCTAGATCGGTCCTTTAGATTTCATAGCGTTAACAGCTGATCATGTTATGACTAGGGTTACACACTTGCAGATTTTCAACGCTAGGCCGCTGTCCCTTCCGAGTTGAGACAATCCTCCACGCAATTCTATCATCTTCTGGAGGCCCCGAAGATGAATCTCGGCTTTAGATCTTGACTCACGCAGTAGCTCTTGTACTATGAGGAAATTGACGACTACAAGGCTCGAATCAGACAAAGCCTCCGCAGTCCCGAGCCTCTGGTTAACCAAGCTGACGGCTTGTCCTAGATGGTATGAGGCGTTCGGTGACAATAAATCTTTTTCAAAGAAGAAGCCGTTCATTGTCCCCATAAGAGCTATTGAACAGTGATATGCTGCATAGAAGTTAGCGGGCTAGCACCTCGTATGTAGATTTTAATCATACAGGTCTTATCCATGAACAGCATATCAAGCCATATTGACCTTATTTGGTCGAGCGAATGACAGATCTGCGGGGGGTATAAAGCCTGCATAACAATTGAGAAGACTAAGGTGTATTAGTGTCGAATTGCTGCATGGATGTGAAAGATGTCTTACACTGGACGATATCGGGTTCGGTTTGCGGTGCTATATCGATTGTGAGTGGCAGGGGCAACATGCCATCGCTAACACTGCTCTTGGATGGAGAAGCATCGTCTCTTGAATTCTGTCGACTATCAAGGCCTGGAATGAGTGGGATATATGTGTGTCGCTGTGACTGGCCCAGATCCAATCTCGACCGTCGATGGAGTTTCTTGCCCTTGTTTTTCCCCTTCAGCGCGTGACTCCGCGCTAGCCTCCTCGTAAGCTTGTCATTCTTCGTTGCATCTATGAATTGAAACTGCTTCTGCATTTCATCCACGGCGTATGCTGAATTTTCTTTTCACTTACTCAGCCTCGTTGTAGAAACATCTATGTTCCAGGAGTCGTATGCAGGTTTGAAGTTCTACCCAAGTAGGTTTGAAATTGAGCCGCATCGGATATATTAGTGGGTTAAGTCCGCTGGTGGCGATCTACCAACTTGTGGCAGGCTAATATGTAGAGTCTAATCTTGCATGGCATTCGGGCGTGTTTTAAGGTCATCAGTCGCTGAAGCCACTAGTGCTCCAGCGGGTTAGTGGCGTTTTTAACGCTATCAACAAGACCTATGCAAACAGCAGCTCGAACTTCACTTCATTTAATCAGTGCAGCGTATGACGTGTTTCTTGTGTATAATATATGATATGTTTCAAATCGCTTCTCTTCATCACTTTGTGACAATATACTAACACCACTGTATCAAGATCTAGCGCAGATGCTCTGATGACCCGGACAAGAAGATGATTGAAATTTCATGATCGAAGAAAACTCACTCCAAGGAGTCGTTCTTTCAGGCATCCTTCAGGCTCACATCTTCGAAAGCCGGCTCAGAAGATGAAGCAGCTCTTGGTGGTAACGGTGGGGGCACACGGGCCGGACTGTTTTCGGCTGGTACTGCTCCATTAGTTGCTTTCGTCTCGATTCCGTCATCAGATCTAATGTCTTTTTCTTGCGCAGCTTGTTTATGGTTGACAGGTATCCCATCCGGGCTCATGATATCTGACTCAGCAACATCCTCATAGATACTCCGGTCATCGTCTTCTGCCGCCTCTACGTGAGCCACTCCGTTGGTAGCGTCAGTCGCGATTGGAGTAATGATGACAGGTTCTGTCTGTGTCCCAGCCTCCGATGTCGTGTATGGCCGGTCCGAGTTCCATCTCATGTGCGAATTATAACTCCCACGGTTACTTCTTGTTCCCGACCCCTCCGTACTTCTGCGGTTGAACTTGCTGTAAATGGGACTTGTAGGACTGGGGTGGTATTCAAATTGCTGACTTGACGGCCTAGAGCGAGTTGCCGCATCACGGATTTCGAGCCCTTCTTGTTCCAAAGCATGCACACCAAACGGGTCTGGATCGTCCGGATCTGGGATACCAAAGAGCTTGCCGTCGGTTGGAGCATCAACGGACACATCTCCTGGTGCCGGCTGCCCTTCTAGCTCGTCCATGAGCTCCTCATCAACGTCAGTCCGGCCCTCTGCAGCCTTCAGAGTCTCCATCAACAACTTGATTTCCGGTGGTGGATGTCGAGCTTTCCCGGCCAAGATGTCCGCAACCCCTATCGTCTCCCCATAAAACCGTGCATTTTCGTCCGTTCGTTCGATGATGACAGTGCCGTCAACCTGAACACCAGCGTAGAACCCCCGTGACTTGAGATAAGTAAATACTGGCTTGTTTACTTGTTTCCACTTGCCATCGTTCTCCAGAACTCCACCAGCTCCCACCGGTCCAGCAACTGCGCTGATCTCGCCGCCTAGAGTCGCTCGGATCTTCGTGAAAGCCTCGAGAGCCTTGCGGTTGTTGATCACCACTACGCAATCATAAATATCTACACCAACTAGGAATCCCAAGCCCGCCGTATGTAACATGATGCCGGATGGGGGCGACCAGGATCCGTCTTCCTTGCGGGCCACCAGGACGCCGGAACCGCCGGCTCCGGAGATCCACAGACCGGTACGCATTGTGGTGAAGATTGCAAGGCCAACAGCATTCTGAATGACTTTCTGTGGGATCTTTTTCAAGACCCTCTGCTTCTGCTTGGGGCCAGCTTGATCAGCTGGCTTCTCTTCCTCAGTATAGAAACCATCCTCTGTGACGCACTTGGTTAGCTTAAGGACCCTTTCGCGATTCCGAGCATTCCGTCATAGCACGGATGCTCAAACGGACACGTCAGAGTATCTCATGGGCATTTTTGGTGGCTCACTGCAAAATGATCTTAAAATCCTAGCCGCCTTATCGCTTTCCTTGTCCAAGGTCGTCGGCCAGAAAGCTTCGCTGCCGATGCGATTGGAGAGTCTGTTGACGGGCGCTCCAAGCTTATCGGCCCATCCCCACACTTTATCGAAGCCCTTCTTGCTTTGAGTCTTCGTCTTGTCCCATGAGGGCAACTTAGCCTTTACTTTCTCCATCGTCGACGATCAAGTCCAAAGATTATAAACTCAGAATGTTCTTTACCCAGTACCACATGAGATGTAATATGCCAGACGCATTGGGAATCCGATTACGTGGTGTGGCGCGCTTGTTCCCGCATTCATACTAAGCCTCGCTCTAAACTTCCGCTCGTTCCGTTTGGAGGTGCAATTGCCGCCCTGAGTCGCTGACACATTCCAAAGGATCTGTCGCGCATGTGTGCAACTTGACTCGCTCTCAATCATCGTTCGGAAGCATAGCCTCAGGGATTGCATTATCTACATTCTAATCCTCTATAATTCAACGCCATCGCCATGAAACATATCATTAGGCCAGATCTTGTCTGGCTCCTCCCTGCGCGACCACTGAAGCTACTCCAATCTCAACTGCAGCAGCTGGCGCAGCATCACTAGTGTCATTCTCCAAGTCTTTCTTCTTCTCGTCCTCAATGCCGAACTCGGTGTTCAGCTGGGTGCGGAGATCAATCTCCTTTTCTACGAAAGTGAGCAGAAATCCCAACCCAGCGAAGGCAATGCCGACCAGCCAGCACGTACGCAGCGCCCCAGTGAACACACTGATGACCTGCTGCCGCACGGCATCGTCATCGATACTGTTCAGGAAAGCGGCTGTCGCGTGTTGATAGGCGCGATCACCTGTCATGATGCTGGCAATCTCAACATTGGTGATTGACTGCCCAATGCGACGAGACTCGTTATTGAAGATCGCAGCCGGGATCGTAACGCCCCAGATGCAACCAAAGTAGCGAGCGAAGCTCCACACTCCAGTGGCCGTCGCAACCAGACTTTCGTCCAAGGGGGCCTGGACAGCTGGCAGCAGGATGCCGACGAGCCCGCCGCCGCCAATGACCGAAATTAGCTGGAAGCATACCCAGGCGGCGTCGCTCGACTTTGCGTCCAGCAGGCTGAAGAGGCCAAAGGAGACTGTAACCGCGGCAAAGCCCGCCAGTTGGAGTGGCTTGTATTTACCCACCACAGATAGGAGAACACCTCCCAGTACAGCGAATCCCAGCCCGCCAGCGAAGGTGGGCAGAGTGCTAACGCCGGATCGCATGGGAGACTGGCCCTTTACAGCCTGAAAATAAATCGGCAAGAAGTAGTACGTCCAGTACGCGAGTATGGCATGGAGAAAAGTGAGACCCAAAGCAGCCGCCGAGGTGCGATTCGACACGATTTGTCTAGGGAAGGATGGCTCCGGACAGAGTCGTGGTGTCCATTCAAAAGCAGTGAACAAAAGCACTCCGAAAAATCCCAGGCAAAGGGGTACCAAAATGTGAAATGTTCCCCAGCCATATACAGTGCCTCCCCAGGTAAGAGCAATGAGCACAGCGGCGATTGCGGCAACAAAGATGGCATTGCCGTAGAAATCGACACGTTTGAACCGAGATGACCAGCTAATGTTTCGCTCGTAGTTGACGCGGAGGAATAGGAAGAGAGCCGCAAAAGTGACTATCAAGACGTCAGAAACATAATTGTAGATGCGGTTTTCACTGCTTACCGCCACCAATTGGGACATTAAGATAGAAACACCAACACCATGTTGAACGATCGGTGATCAAGCCACCCAAGAAGGGACCTAGAGTAGCACCAATGGTGGCTCCTAGCTGTACAATAGCCATCCACTTGCCACGCTCTCGCAGCGCAACAATATCTGTCACGATCGTCTCGATGAGCAGGTTGATGCCACCACCGCCTAAGCCCTGCACGGTTCGAGCAGCAATGAGCATTCTCATGTTAGTTGCTGCACCGCTGAGACCGCTGCCGAGGGTGAAGAGTGCGACAGCGCCGAGCAACAGCAGTCGACGGCCGAAAACATTACTGGCCTGACCGAATAGCGGTAGCACAGCAACCTGCGCAAGGAGGAAGGCATTAGGAACCCAGATGTAGGCATCACCGCCACCCAGATCAGCGGCAATGGTCGGCAGCGCACTTGTGATAATTGTGCCTTCAACGGCTGACATCAACCCAGTGAGTGACAGGGTTGCGATGATAGAGTAGAATTTCCATGAACGCATTGTACCGGCAGGAGGGCCGGGCCCATCGACAGACGGTGCGGAGTTCCGATTTATTTGGTGGCTGGCTGCGTTTTGCAGCTCGTGCTCTTTGAGGGAATTCGAAGCCATGACGAGCGGCGGTGTGAATATTGAGTTTATTGTTGTTGTCGGGTGCGTTGAGTTGTTGAAGGTTGAAGTAGCTTCACGGCTCTTTATCGCCAGGGGACATTGGCAGTTGTCGTCCTGTTATGGCCTAGCGTGGATGAATCACAGTGAATCAGTGCTCAATTTTCTGAAACAAAAAAATCAGTGCACAGTGGGCGACATTGATGCTAACAGATTAGCAGGAGTTGGTCCTACTGAATCGATAGTGTATAAGTATTTTAAATGCAAGCCGCCGAGATCTTTTTCTCCTGATGGTGTCAAAGCACTGCACCTCGCAGCGATTTGTGAGAGTTTCTTGTGATAAACTTCTTCACCCGAGTGACTCTTTCACCGGTTTAATAGGAGTGGGATCGCCCAGATACGGCTCCGTAACTTGAGTTTAGAGCAAATGTGAAAGGCACTTGGCAAATTTTGTTCGGATGAAGTGGTTATGACATTAGGCATATTGGAGCCAGCACCAGAGCCCAGTAAGTAGTAAGCCTACCAACGAGAACATAGTTAGAAACGCGCCTTCAACCCAGCGCTTGTTACACATCTGTTCCCTCGCTTTCCATCCACCGTTCATTGCATTCGCATGAGGGAACTCTATCAGTGGAACCGGCTTGTCTAAGAACTTGCATAATGGCTCCCATCCATCGCATACAGACCACTCCAACAAACGCTCCTTGGGTACAAGGCCTCGGATCATATTGCAGTGTTCTAGTTTGCCAGTTCAGTAAAGAAACAAGCACAAGGACTCGGAACCTTGAGCGGTCTAAGCGCACTCACCTCGATATATCCATTTGCCGTTCTTTCGTATGGCACTTGCCATGTCTCCGTCAGGGCTTCGGAACAGAAGCGGCCAGAAGAAGCGGTGATACACATGCCAGGCCCAGAAACACTCGCGGTTGAAGAGACTTGCAATCCAAAATCCCCAGCTTTCGTTCGAATGAATGAGCGAGTTTTCGGCACTTTGATGCCAGGCTTCAATCTTTGGGCGAACATTGAGGACGACTTTGGCGTTGGGATATGCCGCGATCATCTCCGTTGCAAAGCAACTAGCCGCTGCATCTGTCACAGCGACAGAGTGACCGAGGAGCTCGTCAAACTCCGCCGCTGTGATGTTGGCCTCGCCATCGTTACTCCCATACCATTTCTTGCGAGCCAGCCTAACCCAGCCAGGAGAGTAGCACTGCTCGTCGTAAACGATGTCCCAGCCGTGGTACGTATAGTCATACCCAAGCATCAGTAGAGCCTGCTGAAGTGACTCGGTCCCTGACCTTGGCGGTCCGACACAAATCACTTCCATCGGCCTCGTTCGTTTCCGTCTCGGTGGTTCTGGAAGTCCGTATAGCCATTCGATAAAGTACCACCAGGGATGGTCAAGGCTAAGGACTGGGAGTAGTTTTCCCACCGCATGTACGGTCTGACGGAAATCTCTTTCTTGGTTGGGAAGATTTGATTTACTCGAGATGCCCATAGTTGCTATGCGCCAAAACTAAATTCAGGAACCTTCGTTTTCAAGGTGGGACGTTAGCATCCTGCGGGTGAACGTTCTGACAAAATACTCTGCCGATCTGACTCTTTTGTAGTATAAGCCGGCTCTCGCTGGCTAGCCGGCGGATTATATGCAAGCCAAACTTCAAACTGCTGGCAGACATTTATTTTTTAAGGTGTAGGATAAAGTGGCTTGGGATGTGCTGAGTGAGCTGGTTGGTCGGTTATTTCCCCAGTATGTAACCACCCGAAAGCTTCTTTCCCCACATTCCATGCCATAAATGAAATTCGTTCCTGGAATTCAATTTAATTGTCTTGGCATCGGGCCTCGACAGACCGCTCCAAAGGCATTGTTAGCTATATGAGAAGTTGATCCTGGATTAGTAGACATAGTTCCGCGACAGCAGTTTCGGGATATTAGATACTGGTATAGCCTCATGACTTATGCATTCATCGTATACGCATTCATGAAGCACGAAGCCTTTTATCCTGATGAAATTTCATTTTCACGTATGTAACAGGGTCAAATAAGCAATTGATTTCATTCAAAAGAACTCGAGTGATTGCTATACCGTAAAATAGATCTATCATCGAATTGAGATACCCACTCCAACTGACCGAAAGAAAAGGAAACAACCTCACAATGATTGGGAAAATAGCAATCATCATAGACTAGTGATCGAAACGCATGTCCTGTGTTCCCTGCGTGAAATCTTCAGTCTGATTGTAAAATTCTTCCGTCATACCTAGTTGCCCGTTTCCAGGAAAATTTGGCATTGGTTGATAGGTCATGCCAAATTGCCATTGCTGACTGGGGTATACTGTATAGTAGTTGCTAAGATTCTCCTGAGGCATGGTGGAGAATGTGCTCAGAGGGACCTGCGGTTGAAGGGCTGGAGACAGTTGGGCAGGAAGTGCATTTTGGAATTGGCTGCGCTGTCTTGCCATGGGAACCATACCCGTATATTGCGGAGATGTTGCCGAGCCATTCATGTTTAACGTATAGGATTGCGCCGGCGCAGAGTTGGCTGTAGATAAAGTCGAACCTGTCAACTGCTGAGATGACCCATTCGAGGGATGAGATACATGCGTAGATGAGCCGCCAACGAGGGAAGAGACGTTATTACTTCGAGATCGGCTCGAAGATGAGTCTGTTGTTGGGGATAGAGGTCCGTGAAGGCTGGTAAAAACGTTGAAAGTCGTTTCGACAAGATTTCGTAGCTTTTGCCTCATATCATGTTCAAATTCTGTGGGAAAGACGATGTCCTGACCTTGGATTTTACGATCGAGTATGTTTTCAAAGAGCGACACGAAGGTGTCCCGATTAGTTGACGGCGATGCATTGGATCCTCTTGGCATGACACCATCGTACCCTATTGATGCTTAGAATCTTTCATTTCTCATGATTGGCTTTGACTTACAAGGTGTCTGAGGTCTTGGGTTGTCGGGGAAAAGAATGATCCAGATTTCAAACCATTTCTCGACTCGGTGAGACTCTTGATTTCTCTTACGATTTTGCTTATCCAACGCAGCCCACTGCGCCTCGCTTATTCCTTCTTTGAGAGATGAGTCCTTACGATCACAAGGTTTGTCGAGTTGACGATGTTCTGTTAGCTGCTTCACACAAGCAGCCCTGTCGCCGCCCTGAAATGTGCGATAGCAGCGGTCGCACTGCACTGGAGAATGTCTTCGCTTCAGGTGCTCCCTGGATTCATCAGCCATAAAGCAGCAAGCTTGGGTTCACCCTACATACTTGAGCCGTTGGATGCTCTTGAACCCTGGTCCTGCACAAGTTCGAAAGTCGTGTCTCTTCCCCTGTCCAGACGTGTTGTGCTGGCTGTATTTGATGCAATCCAGCTTATGAAATGGACAAGCCAGCATCAAACTGGAAGTAACAAGATCTTGCGGAGAGGTATCTGTGTTCCTAGGATTCATTTCTCCGTCTTCTTCCTCTTCTTCCTCCTCGTTTTCATGACTCCCTGCGCCTCCGCCGTTGGAATTGAGTCTCTGCCGTTTGCGAGAAGCTGGTGGTGACTGGTTCGGAGATGCGGAAGCAGAACCATTTTGTGCACCACTCCCTCCCGACCCTGCCGAACTAGAAGCTGTGCCATATTGTCGCCATGTTTCAACTTTTCTTCTGATTGTGGAGTTGAAATTGTTGTGAATGAGAGGAATCAAGAACGCCGCAAGGTCCAAATCGCCATCAACTGCAGCAATGACGGTCGCTTCTAAACTCCCATCCTCACCGCTCCAATCATCGTCTTGGTCCTCATTCTCATCATCATAGAATTCGCTATCGCTCTCACTAGCCTCAGTTTCATCATCAACATGCGTCATTTCATCAATTTCCATCGATGCCAGCTGACGAAGAGAGCTTTTCGGTTGCGTGGAGACACTGATACTTGCATCAACGCGGCGGCTCTGTCCTACATTTTGTATGGAATCTCGAAACCCAGATCCTGGCGTACTTCCCAAGCTATAGATTGCATTATGTCAGCATTGAAGGTATTCAAAATGCGCGCGCCATCGTCCAGCTTTGTCTCATTGATCAATTTAGATGGCAAAGGGAAACTCACTCCCTATCACCTGTTGCTCCCAGCTTATCTGCCTCATCGTCACTGTGATAGTTGCACTCAGAGTCTTGTTGTGCAGACATTCCCCAGCTTGATACCGATGACCTCGTTGTCTGCGACGAATTATCCGTCACGGGAGTCGAGGAACGAGATGTTTCACTACCCGGAGCGGCGAGTCTTGCATCTAACGCCCTGTCATATGAGGGCTCTTGGACCATCATCTTCGAAAATAGTCTCGTCGATGTATTCAAGCCTTTGCTCTCCCGATTGCCCCTTCTATTTAGCATTGGAGACATCGCTACCTGGCGCGAACCATCCATGGTGCTCGTGAAGGTGCCTAGGAAGAGCAAAGAACTTGCTGAGGCAAGTGAGTCAAGTCGGGCAAGGTTGGGCAATCCGTCATTCAAATGGGATACCACGACGAGCTCCGTGACCATGTTCCATGGTCGCACATCCTTGCTTGCTCCATTGGCTGTTTGCTACCTCTCATGCCTGCCTGCGTTGTGACGCACTTGCGATGGTACTATGAATTCTAGCCAACGATGATGAGACGAGTCGCAACTCCTGCAACTATTTTGATCCCGCTTCAAGATAACCACATTATTCTTGCTAGCTTGGTGGTATGACAATATCTACGACCAATCAATCGAATCCTGTGAACCAGTCTATTTGCGCCACAAAGTGACGCTTGCGCTTGGTGCACTCAGAGCTGCATTGCATATGCATCTTGTCGCGCATTTGCGTCGTCACGTTCCGGCGAATCGTCACCGAACACGGTGAACGACAGAGAACATTTGTCTTGATCAGCGAACATCATACCAGCCATTGTCGCACCGGGTGAACATCTTAGACGGATATTAGATTATCGTTCTTGACGATGCGGGGTCTAGCACGGTCAGCTGCACGAAGACGGACTTGAAGCTGAGAAGTTTAGAGACATGTACGTTGCTCCGTGATCATTGAGGCAAATGGTATGAATGAGTAGACGCAATCTATTTCTTTTTACCCATTCGCCTTTATTAGAAACAATGATCTCCTCGCGCAATTGCGAAACCCCAACATGTTGTTCTCCAGGAAATATCTTCAGAAGATGACATCTCCAGCAAATTCGTGAAACGCTCGTATGCCATCGTAGGCAGCTTGCGAGATGATAACACCAGTGATGTCTGGACCTGGTGCTATAGACGCAACCGTCATGACTTGACTGATGGAGCAAGTGGGTGTAACGAACACTGTGTCTAGCGTTTGCTGGTTCTGAGATGAATTGATAGAGCGACTGGGGTTTTCTGGCTCGGGTTGATGAAATGAAGTAGGCTGGGTTGCGACGTCGAGGGCCGTAAATGCAAGATTTCTCCTGCAATTTCCGTGTGATTTTGTCTGATAATCCCGATCGAAACTGCCGTTTTCACATGCACAACCAGAGGCTGGACGATCACTGAGGATCAAACTGGCACCAGGCCTTTCACAAAAGTGAGATGCGGTTTGAAGGCTCGATGTTGATGGCCAGGGAGTGAATCGACGGTTGCAAAAGGCGCAGACCAATCGAAGTGGTTCATTGGCAGTAGGGAGCCAGTAGAGTCCTCGTCTTGCCAGTTCGAATCGGGTTGGGCTCTGGAGGGGCCATTCAGAGAAGGTCGCCAACCGGTCAGTGTATGTCAGGTAAGCACACTTTGCTCTGAGTACTCTGACTTGGTGTTCGATGATATAAAGTAAACTGAGCACAAGTACACAGCGAGCAAGAAGCTTCAGGCCATCGATAGACAGTACAGACAGTTGTTGTTTGTCGGCAAACAGATCAAACATCGTGGTTCAGGTTTGTAGGTCGACCCACCCTTTTGTGATTCTTCCAGGGCGTGTTTATCATTCGCTTGAAGTATAAAGAAGCTAAACAAACAAAATCTAAGGGCTTGGGCTAACCCTTATCAAGGCGATGAAAAAAAAAATCGTTACCATGTATTTAGTTTGATCCGATGTTCAACAAAAAACAGAGATACCTGGGATGCTTAATCAGTGGTGAAAGTTCAATCGGGCTTGCACCCATGCTCTAGGGCTGTCAATGAATAGTGCATGGAGTAACTCATGACTGCATAATATCTCAACATTATATTGTATTTGATGCTTTGTTGATGCAAGACTTTCATTGAGGAGACGAATGTATTGAGGTGTTGATATCAACACACTCTAAGCATTCCGTGAACCAACCTTCTGATGTTCATCTTCATCTTTAATCACAACTCTTGAAACCCCTTCATGATGTTGTCTTTCAAAGTTCATGCTGCAAATTAGCTTTTGCCTATTGCCTATAAAGTGACATAGTTTAATTCTTTATCGAGATATATCCCCCTACAACGCGATATGTCAATATTTCCATCTGTTTTTTGTCGTTCTTGCCCTGCAAAGTGCTATTTGCGATAATTCTGCAGTCATATATGGTGGCACGTGATAACCCCCTAATCCATCAAAAGCCCTGAGTAACCACCGCTTTTCTCAGCAACAGCTTCTATTTACTTCTCCCTTTTTCTCACGCGTTCGTGATTATCTGCCACCACCTATTTGCCGCGTCTCCATCGTCCTTCTTTCCCACATTTCATATCGCACTCTTCTAATTTAGATGCTTGCCCTTGTCGCCAGCCGTTTTTCCCTGCATATCTCTTTTTCACTTTTGTGTCCCTATCCCGACGAAAATTGCAGGGCTTACAGTGAGATACCTTGGTCTCTCGAGTCACTGCTGCGATAGATTTGATTCAAACTTCATCATCTCCCACCAGTCACGCCAGGACTCAAGCATTGCAGCGCGATTGGTGCCAAATCTTCTAGTCTCACGCCACAGATCAGAGCAGACCACATCTCCGACAAGACAAGACACAAATCCTTTGGTTTGATCCATGACAAGATGCCTGTATGTATCAATTCAGTCCACTTTGATTAGACTAGGTTTCTGACCTTATCCTATATAAAGGTACCGAAGAAAGTAGCGAAGAAAGCGCCAGCTGTCAAGGCTCGGCCCCTGAGCAGAGGCCTACTCCAGTCGTTCCACTGCTTTCCCAAGCTGCCTACCGAGCTTCGATGCATTGTCTGGAAGATGGCGATGGAGGACACGGCCAACACTATTCATGTCTTCCGTCGTACAAAGTTCAATTATCTTCTCCCGGAGATGGAACGCCTTTGGGGACGCTGGCGCCATAGAGGTGGAGATCATGAGAATCGGATCGGACTTGTGCCTGATTCCAGTCTGAAAGAGCATGTTTTTAGACTCAAGAGTCTTCTATCCGTCTCTCGAGATTCCAAAGCTGCGATCATGGCAGCATTAGGGCCAGATCGACTGGTGCTTCGAATAATCGACCCCAAGACCCCGGCCTCAGAGCCCAGAAGCCTGATCCTTACAAATCTACCCTTCCGCCCCGACAGAGATGTCATGTGCATTGCAGGAATGCAACTGGAGTCTTATACTCTCGAGTACGACCTCTACGGATATCGCATCTCAGACAGCAATATCCGCCATCTTGCAATTTGTTCACCGCACATATTCTGGCAGTGTCACGGTAGTCCAGAAGACCTGCCTCATGGAGTGCACACTCATCTCAAAACTCTGGTTAGGGAATTTCCTCTACTTGAGACAGCTTTTTTGGTGCACTCAAAGGTTCTCAAAAAGAAGGGGCATGCAATGGGACTTCATGAGTTGGTGCTCGAGGAAGAACTTTACCATGATCGTTCTTGGGTGGTCGGTCACGAGTTGTTGCGGTGGAGAAAGGAAGTAAAGGCGTTCATCAATGCTAAGGGAGAGGTGTATGGATTTCGCCTCTTCAAGGTGTAAGGAGGCCCACCGCTCACCATTCTGCTTGGTTGCATTGCAGCCTTCTGTGTGAAGGTGGACCAAGGAGACACGATACTGATTCTCTTCTGAAAGCATCTTTCATTTTGCTTTAGCTTGCGACGATGTCGCACTTGTATCAGAAAGTGGACATGGAATTTTGGTGGTGAGGTCACACAAAAGTCAAAGATCTCTGCATGGTCAGAGAAGATCAATGAAATGGATGGTTTTTTGTTTCAGTATATAATGTAATAGAATCCAAACACAAATTTCAGACTGCAGCTTTCATCTTCTGACAGGTACCTCGTGAAAGGGTTCTCGAGCGATTGATTTTCTGTGAGGAAACACGCACACTCCACAGGCAGCTGTTCCGCTAATATGTCACGACAACAACACAACATTTTAAGGGATCTAATTGTCCGATATCGCCAGACTGCATCAAAAACTGCAGTCTACCAAGGAGTGTGACCTGTCGATTGATTGTAGTCCATGTTCTTGCCAGTCTAATATGATTTTCGTGGTAACTAGAAGCATGATAATAAAGACGGTGGCCACGATTTTCTCATTTCCATGCGAGCATCTCGCACTGCACTGATACAGACCAAGCATCTTCCGTCTCTGCCCACTGCTTCACAGCACTCACAGCCTGTTCGATCTCCTCCTCGGGAATCCCTGCATCCAGCCAGGTCTGACGGAAGGGATCTCCGGGCTGTAGCTGGCCAGCAATGCGCCAGGCCAACCACTTCCGAGTCTCTGCCCCTGAGACGACCCACGCTCCAGCACCAATACGAACCTTGCCTCCGTCGGCTTCGAAACCAGCGCGGCGGTAAAGCGTGGGCATGATTGTCCCTGTGGGGTCCGCCTCAGGCTTGCCCTTGCGCGATGCGCGGAACTGGTTCTGGTTGTACAATCTATCAAGCTCCAGGCTTTTCGGGTAGCTATGGGAAGCTGCAGCATCGCGCGAGGCGAGAACACCGCCTGGTTTCAGGAGACGTCGCATCTCGATCAACGCACGGAGAGGCATCTCTGGCGGCGGGAAGTGGCCGAGGACCTGCGAGCTGAATATCACATCGAATGTATCGTCAGGGTACGCAAGCCCTTCGAGAATATTGCCTTCCTGGAAGATGAGAGAGCCAGGCCCGTCGTTAGGCATGTTGGCATCGGCTGCTGCGTTCTTCGCCTTCTGCAAGACCTCCGTCGAGATGTCGATGCCAATCGTCGACCCTTCGCTGGCGTACTTGGCTAGACCCACGGTGATTGTACCAGGCCCACAGCCGACATCGAGGATGCGATCGGTCTTCTTGATATGTGGTAGGAGAAAGCCTGCATCCTTCTCGGCGGTGCGTCGCTGCTGCGTTGCGATGGTGAAGTCAGAGTGGCCTCGCGCGTAGTAGCCTGGAAGATTCTGTTGTGCCATGTCTCAGGATGTCTGCTATCAGTGAGTTAGATGAATAGTACAAGTACCTCTTGAAGAGCTCACTCACCTGTTGTATTTTATATTTCGTGACTTGCTCTCATTGCACTCGGACAAGTCGGGTCTGTGCTTCCGAATGCGGTTAGTCGTGTCCGGAAGCCCGAGTGGCCTTCGCCTGCAAGATGCTTTTGAATGACACAATTCGTGGCTAACAGGATTTTTGATTGATCAGAGCTGGAGCAGATCATTCCAGTACGTCCAGTCTAGAGTCTCATCGTGCATAATGTCTCCCATGTACCCAAAGTGCGGATCCTCGGGATCCGCCATCGACGACCGCTCAGCCCCTGGATTTCCTCTCGCGGCTTGTAGTATCTCAATAAACGTCGGCACACTTTCCGCGTGGAGGCCCAGCATCTGCCAGCGCGCTTCCCAAGCTTTGAGTGTCAGATCCGCCAGTGCGATGTAGAACCTGTGGTTGCCTTGCATGACTTCCGATTGCTCCTCATGCATCCGCGCCAGCAGTCCCCACGCTGTGTCCACAAGAGAGCCACTCGTTCGCTGCCGTAGCTCGCTGACCATGTAGACCAGAGCCTCGACTTGTGTCCGACATGCCATATGGTCTATTAGGAGCGTCGAGAAACTAGTGTCCCGCACCTCATAGTCCAACTCCAATAGCCTGACGCTGCTTTCGAAGCCGAGGTCTTGATCGGCCTGAGACATGTGCTTGCCGCCGTCAGGCTGATTCCGTGGATGGAACATCGTGAATTTCTGAGTGTGAGTGGTGATGTTTGCTAAGGCGGCCGACAGACGGTGGAGTGGTATGCTTGTGTCGAGATGGTTCACGTATTTCTCCTTGAGCATGCCCTCAACCTCTTTGAGAACTAATTGCTTCTTCGTCACTGCCTCGGCATCAGTCGAAGACGCTAGCTGCGAGGCCTTCTCCCTGGGGTTGAGGCTGCCAGAGAAGTGGGATGACTTCCGCACAAAATGCCATAAGTCATACTTCATCAGACAGAAGACCATCTCTGTTGCAGTGGTGTGTTGGACGGTAGGTGGCTTGGTCATGTTCGGATGCAAATCCGCGTCGTTGACGTTCATCGGAAGGCGCACATCGCCAAGGTCGTCGACTGTAGCTAGAAGACCCATTGCTCGACGTGTGCGTGAGTCTAGACCGCGGATGTACCACCACAAGCGAACTTGCATCTCCTGCTCGAAAAATGGCACGCGTGTGTCTTGTCCAGCGCGGTGTAGCCCCATTTTGTGGGCGATGCGCATAGCTAGGGCGACCGCTGTGGTTGAGAGTTCGGATTGGGGATCAATCATCTGAAATTAGAAAGAGAGATTAGCTCACATTTCCACTTCATATGAGGAATGTACGCTGGAGTTACAAGAACTAGAGCCAACGCTTGCAGAGCCGCTAAGTCTCGCGTTGCAAGCAGATCAGCATCAGACAAGGCCCGCATTGCACCCATGCGATAGCGGGCCACGAGCGTTGCTTTGCTCTCGCCAAATGCATGGAGGCAGTCACCCGGCTTCATCGAGGCGGCAGCCAACGCGTAAACGGCAAATATTGTAGCTTCGAGTGAAGGAGTAGCTGCTTCGACACTCCATGCTGCCTCAAAGATTTTCTTCTGGAGGGTGGGCGTGTGAACAATCTTGGTCAAAGGGTTGACGTTATCTACGAAAGTCTGCCAGAGCTGGACAACGTGTTTCGGCTCCGGATGTAACTCTAGTCGTCTATTTTGTGTGTTAACATTATTTGGAATCAGTGAAAACGACAAAGGCAAAGCTGTATCGATGATCGTGGCCTGTTCCTCTCCATCCTTGATGGGCTGTCTCAACTGTGAGATCTGCGGCACTTTCAACTGGACTTATCTTTAGTCATAAACTTTTAGCGAGATGAGGGAACAATTACATCTTCAGTAAGATCAGACCATAGACGCGATGCCTCGTGACGTTTCTCGGCAACAAGGTCGACACCAATGGTTTCTTGGCCATGCGTCGCGAGTTGGGCTTGGGTCGCTATTGTCGTTCCAGCGGAGTCAGGGTTCGGTTGAGCCCCAGAGCTCCTGACAGGCTCTAACTTCGTCTCCCAAGATGACTGAATCCATGAATTATCCAACGGTTCGTATGAAACATTATGATTGGTGAGCAGGGACTCGAGCTCCCGGATTTTGCACAGGAGGTCGCCATGTGTCAGCCGTTTCCGATGTCTCTGCGATGGCGGAGGCGGTCGATAGACGCACTTGGCGTTAGTCTTGGAGCAACTGGAGCAAGGGCTCAACTTGTCGCATTTCACCTTACGCTGGGAACAATTGAGACAGGAAAATTGGTTCGAAGGCGGCATCGCAGTCTATCAAGATGCATTTTGGTAGCTTTCTTTGGAGGCCATTGACGGCGGGGTCTGAAAAGAGAATGTGACCCACACGTCCACCTGCATGCTTAATAAGGCGGCGATGGCGTCAACGGGTTTCATGGCCGTATTCTTGACATCGACGTATCAGCAGCGTAATTTATGAAAACGACCGTGAAAGCAACTGCATGACATTGGGGAAAATGCGCTTTCTTTGTGCGCAACTGAGATCATTTTCAAGAATCAATGCGCTGGTAAAGCACTGTTTGTGGCTGATAGGTGTATCGGTCTATTGACTTACAAGGTCTATAGAACAAACCTGAAGACATGAATGATATTTGATCACGTACACATCTTGAGAATGTGAAGCTTTTCACAAAGACAAGCCGTCGGTCGAGCAGAATATGTCGATAGCAATGCCATCTCGAAGGAGATAGAGAAAGCACAGAGCAGAAGCGTCAAAAAAGGGGGACTATCTCAGGGACCGAGTAAGATAGCTATGAAACGTCTAATGGTCCAACAAGGTGTGTTCTAGTCAGGGACTGGCTCTAGACAATAGAGTAGGCATGCTTGGCGTGGTATTCCAATTTGGATTTACCAGTCATTGACGATCCTACCTACTATCCCCTAGCATGCTCGATGGATGTCTACGATAAACAAACTAATGTCAGGTCTTTCTGACCCGTCGCGTGCCATAGTAGCAACCAAGGATCGGTCGCCCTGACGAGCAAGTGCAAAGGGTCGTAATAGTCTAAGCCAGATGCAATGCTGCACTGTGATGCGCATGCAGAGCCAGCCAAGTCCGATTTCGTTACCGCACTGGCTTCGTTGAAGTGTGTTTGGGACAGTCAATGTAACCTCGCAAGGCACTTGTCTAGGAGGCTCCCAACGTAGGTGAGGCAAGCAAGCTGGAGGTACCGTGGGGCTGATAGTAAGGGCAGACGGGGTGGAACTGATACATGTACATGCCCCAGGGTGGTAGACTGATGCACAGGCCAAGTGGTGGACTTCGGGGACCTTATCAATAATGGAGACGCTTGACTTGCATGTGTTAGTAATGGCCGGCGGAGGAGGCTCAACTCTCATGAGCAGAGGCAACATGTGAATGGCAACGATGGCTGGCTTGTCCGCTCATGTTGCTGTCGACAATTGCTCATGAACACATAGACATGGACATGAACATGACATCAACAGCAACGTGCTGTCCAGACGCGTATCAAACAAAGGAGTTCCGACCGGCCGAGTACGAAGCGAGATGCAGCCAAGGAGACCAGTGGTTATCTGTGTAACATTCACATGTGGTCAGAACCCAAGATAGGGGGAGGCAGAAGCCATAGAACCATACCATCAGACAATTCCTGAGACTGAGAGACCCTTTCCCAGCGGTCCCTCGTGTCTCCCCTGCATCTCGGTTTGGTCGATCCGGCACAGTGGGCTTGCCGATATGCGAAGATATTGGTGCTATGCAACAGATATGAATGGATGGGGACAATGTGGGCTCTCTCCTGTGGGCATCAAAGACGGGCTACCCAGGGCCATGGACTCATGGAGCAGTGTGTTATCGAGAAGCTGCTTGTGATGGGTGGGCCCATAGTAACTGGGAATGTCTTTGATTCTTAGTGGCCGTTGCAGGCGCGGGATGGAGTTGATGATTCCATATTTGCATGAGCATAGGGTAGCCCAGCCTGATTGAGGCTTGCTTGCTTGCCGGGGAAGGGCACGAGACACGACATTGCAGGCTGTTCTGTTGGTTAGTCAGTCAGCCAGTCACCAAATGAGTGAGTGAGTGTCAGTATATCGATTTCGCTGTGCTGCAACTGCACGGCTCGGCACGGCTGTCTGGCTTTGACTGACTGACTGGCTGACTGACTGGGCGATTGTGGTTTAGTTTGTGGTTTGTGGTTTGTGGTGTGGTGGTCTCTTTTTTAATCTACGAAACGTTACATGAGGGTCCCGCCCGTCCTCTCCGCAGCCAAGCTCAGGCCTTAGCCTAGCGAGCCTAGGTAGTTCTGCACTAAAGCCCCAAGCCCTAGCTCCATCCATCATCTGCACGGTTATGCGGGCTGGGCTAGCGTTAGTAGGGCGGCGTCGCTTCCCTGCTACTTAACGCTCTCGGCGTGGCTTCCAGCGGTCTTCTACGCCGTCTCAGTGGCCTCTTCAGTTGGCCTTCGATCGCCCCGCATTCTGTCTTTTGGTGCCGGCCTGGCTTGTTCCCTCCTTCCTGAAGAGAGCAGCGTGGTCGCGCCTTCCAATGAGCGCATCAAGCCTGAGATTGGGGTGGGCCTGTCTCGTGATCTGGCGCTGGCTTAGCCCAATCAGCAACTGCTCATTCGGTCCGGCCTTATCAAGCTTCAGGGGTGCTCCTGCCCCGGCATTCCAGCATTCCTTCCTCCAGTACATACTGTAGAATTGAAGATGCTGTCCATTTACAAGAAACAGTAGAGATATCTCTTCTTTACGATGCCAACACTGTGCACAGATATAATGTGCTAGTCTAGGAGCTATGTACACACTGTAGATGCTAACAGATGCCATCACCGCATAACGGATGTGCTTGATCGCCCGCTGATTCCTCAAGGTCGCACCTACCCTGCAAGAGTAAAATATTAACAACGTGGAAGCTACAGAGTTACTTACTATGTAGGCTATGATCGTGCCAGGGACCCTCGTGCCTTCCCTGCGGCGCCAAATTGCCGTGCGCCTCTTTCCCATTAGGACATGGAAGTCAATTTGAGCACCCCGCGGAGGGCAGGGACGAGGGTGGCACGGGAAAGCGCCAGCATCTCGTTCTTTCTGCTTTTTGCTCGTCCCTCGTCCCACATGTCGATGTATTTTGGGTGCGTTTTTTGTGCAGCAACATTGCAGTAATTTCTCATTATACTGTACCGGCACGGCATGTAAGCCTGAGTGAGTGATCGACACTTTCCATCATCATCCACTCTGTCTTTTCTTAGGGGCCAGATCGCATTCTCCATATCGCGTATTTCTTGCATTCTCCGCTCCATCCTCCTCCAATTCTTTGCCTCAGTTCGCAACACAGTGCAGTCACCGTAGTGGAGAGAAAGTCAGCAGAATCAGCACAAGTGGTCATCCAATTCCAACCAACCATCCATCCTCCACCAGCAGCATCCTGATGCTGATGCTGGATGGAAGAGCAAGCCAGAAAAGGCCCGTCCGATACGAACCAATAACCAGCTAATTAGCAGTGCGTTGCCTGTCTTGTGCTGTGCGAACCTGGCCCGGATATCGAGCGAGCTAAACCCAACCCTGAACGACGCCTGCATCTGCACGGCTGCTCTGTTTCATCGCGCATCCCCCGATCCAACGCCAGCGCCACCCGGCTATCCATCCCCCCCAGGTCGCCAGTGTCACCTTAAACCCGCCTAGACCGGCTTGGGCCTGTGGTGGGGGACGCCCTCGACTCGATTGTCCCAGTCAAGCTGCCCCTGTCTTCGGAGCTGTCACGTAGCAACTCGTTTGTTCGGCTCGTTTGTCGAGGCAGACAGGTCGCGTCCGCGGGCAGCTTGATTGTCGTGTCTGCTGCCACCCAGCGACCTTCGTACAGTACCTCGTACCTATTGATAGGAACAACACCAAGAACGGGTCCCTTGTCACTCTGCTTGTCTTGTGTCTGTCTATCAGACCAGCGAGACCAGCGGACTGGGCATTTGCTGTGCAGTTGCAGCTAGCTTTCTAGGGCCCTGCTTGTGCGTGGCTTGGTTGTTGTTACCTTACTTCGAGACGAGACCTGCCCTCGGCCCAGCCTTCTTTTCTTCCCACCTGGTCGGTGTCGTGTCACCAACGGATCGAGTATTCTGTCTCTCCACGGTACCTTGGCCTCTTCCCCGGTGGTGGTAGCAACGACAGCCGCAGGCGCACCAGCACCAGCACCAGCAGCACACAGCTTGCCTGATCGACTGACTTACCATCCATCACACTACGGTACCACCACCCTTGTCTCCTCGCGGTTGCACTGTGCCAGCCGTTATCTTGTAATCACAAGCGGCCATTGGACCCCCGTTGCATCCCGTATCACCATCTTTTGGCTGGCCTGATCTTACTATTTACATTAAGGCCCTGCATCCTTCCGCTGCCTGGCACCTTGCACCTGGCTCAAAGCATCTCCAACCCCACGAACCCTTATTAATTCTCTGCTCCCGAAGCATCCAATTTGGGTTTCCGAGAGCGCTCCTCTTCTTCTCTTCTCTCCAGCAGCGCATGCCCCGCCAGCCTTCCCACCACCCACAGGTAGATCACGAGTGCACTTGCTTTTGCGCTACCTCCCTGTACCCTCACTTTGTCTAGCTCAGTGAGCGCCGCAGCACCGTCTTTTAACTGCCGACGGAATATTTTCACTGCCGCGCAACTACCGGATTGGTCAATTGATTGAGGGAATCCATCTACAAGTCGAAATTGACAAAATTCAAAATGGCTGACGAGAAAACAACCCCCGGCGTGCAAGAGGCACCGCCTTCATCCAGCCCGACGACACACCCGGTCGGCGAGCCAATCCCGCGTCCTGCCGGATGGATGTACAAGGGCTTCCGATTCGGCGGCAAGAGGGAGTTCTGGTATGCATCGCCCCAGGTTCAGCTGATCATGGTGGCCATGGTGTGCTTCCTGTGCCCCGGTATGTTCAACGCCCTTGGCGGCCTCGGAGGTGGTGGTCAGGTCGACGCCAAGGCTCAGGATGATGCCAACACGGCCCTGTACTCGACTTTTGCTGTTGTTGGTTTCTTCTCCGGAACTTTCGCCAACAGACTCGGTGTCAAGCTTACCATGTCTCTTGGTGGTCTGGGCTACTGCATTTATGCCGCCTCTTTCTTGTCCTACTCTCACACTCAGAATGATGGCTTTGTGGTCTTCGCTGGTGCCTTCCTCGGTGTCTGTGCTGGTCTGCTCTGGTGTGGCCAGGGTGCTATCATGATGAGCTACCCTCCCGAGGACAAGAAGGGACGCTACATCGCTCGTTTCTGGATCATCTTCAACATGGGTGCTGTCATCGGTGCTCTGATCCCCCTGGGCGAGAACATCCACAAGACCGCAGGCGCCGTCACTGATGGCACCTATGCCGCATTCATTGTTCTCATGTTTGCTGGTGCCGTGATCGCACTTTTCCTGTGCAACGCCAATTCTATCCAGCGTGACGATGGCTCGCATGTCATTCTGATGAAGAACCCAAGTTGGTGGTCTGAGCTCAAGGGTTTGTACGAGACAATCATCTCAGACCCCTGGATCCTCTTCCTCTTCCCCATGTTCTTCGTCTCCAACACCTTCTATACCTGGCAAATGAACGATATGAACGGTGCTCACTTCAACGTCCGCACGCGTGCCCTCAACAACGTGCTCTACTGGGCTGCTCAGATCTTCGGTGCTGTCATCTTCGGCTTCGCTCTGGATTTCGCCAGAATCCGTCGCTCGGTTCGTGCTAGAATCGCGTTTGGTGCTCTGGTGACTCTCACCTTCGTTGTCTGGGGCGGTGGCTGGGCTTGGCAGAAGCAGCAGCCGACTCGTGAGGTTGTTGAGGCCGTAGATGCGGATGGCAACCCCACCTATACCGGCCGAGCTGACTGGACTGATGGTGGCAAGAAGTTCATTGGACCCATGTTCCTGTACATCTTCATGGGCTTCTTTGATGCCGCCTGGCAAACCTGCATCTACTGGTACATGGGTGCCTTGTCCAACTCCGGCCGCAAGGCTGCCAACTTTGCCGGTTTTTACAAGGGTAAGCAGATTACACTCACCACTTTACTCAAACCTTGACCAAGACTAACAACTTGAAGGTATTCAATCCGTCGGCAATGCTATTTTCTGGAGACTGGACGGCCTCAAGAAGCCATACAACACCATCTTCGGTGCGACTTGGGGCACTTTGGGCGCCGCCCTTGTGTTTGCCGCGCCCATTATTCTGCTCCGAATCAAGGACACTATCTCTCTTGAAGAGGATCTGAAGTACACCGATGAGACAGTTGAGGATGTCGCCCCTGTCGATGTTCTTCCTCACCACACCGACAAGGCCGAAGTTTAAGTGATTCCTCAAAGATGTTGAGAGGCGATGAGCAGCGGGGTTAGAGCAAGGGGACGGTAAGCGGTTAGGCGGGAAACCGCCCATAAACAGTACATAATGTATGAGTTTAGGTCTGAAATGTGGCAGGATGTCGGTGATAGCACTAGTTTCGAGCTTTAATGCAAGATATGATACCTCTACGGGAGTATTTCTTTACCACTACATGATTTTTTCCTCATGAAGCAAGCTTTTACTAGACTCTCTCTGTTGCATTCAGGTAAGAATCTTCTCATCTTTGAAAGACTTTTTGACTGACTAGATTTAGACTTTGTGACTACGTTCTTCAACTGCCGCAGTCGCCAGGCGTTTAGGGATAGGTCTCCTTCACAGCCTTGCTTTCCCTTTTGAGAAAGCCTTTGAATGTGCCCAGCGGTATACCCCAAGACTTGACCGCTTCTATGTCCACAGACTTGCTCATGTCTCTCGAGATAAGCTGCGCGGTCACGAACATGTTCTTCTTCTTCTCCGTCTCGATTTCCTCCTCCGTCAAGAACCGACACCGCATATCCTTCCCATTGGCCTCCGCCAACTGCGCCATCAACTCCTCCGGCGTCCACGACTCGCTCGCAATCGAAATCTCCTTCCGATCAAACCGCGCCGGGTCCTGAAACCCCGCCACAGCGAACTTAGCAATGTCCTCGGTGTCGCAAAGCGGTAGCCGTGTTTCGGGAGTGTAAGCCATGGTCCAGACGTGCGTCTCCGCCAGCCCGGGATACATCATGACGCGTGGCGCAAGCAGGTTCGCCATGAAGAAGCCTCCGCGGAGGATCGTCCAGTGCGCAAAGCCGCCCGCCTTGACGAGCTCCTCGACCTCGCGCTTCCACGCCATCGCCTTGCCCGGCGGGCTGTCCGGGTCATAGAAGGCGCGCGTCTCGGGGCTCTGCACGGACAGCCCGCTCGAGTAGACGACGTGCCGCACGCCGGCCGCGCGGGCGATGGCGAGGATGCGCCGCGCGTGCGGCACCTCGGAGGAGAAGTCGGCGAGGTTGGGGATCAGGTTCAGGAAGAGACGGGTGCAGCCTGCGATGGCGGCCGTGAGCGCAACTTCGTTGGCCCAGTCGCCTGGCGTGAACTCGACGCCGAGGGCCTGCAGCTCGTGCACGATGGGGGCGTCCATATTGCGTGCGGTCGCGTGGACGGGCCAGCCGAGTGTGCGGAGGTGCCGCGCTACGGCCGAGCCTTGGGTGCCTGTTGCACCTGTCACGAAGACGGTGTATGTGGTGGTTGGCATGGTGCTGTCGGATGAGTGTATAGGCACAAGTGAAGAGCCGGAATATCTACGGACGATGGGGAAATTGCCTTCATTCTGCAGGCTGGATAGCGTCCATGTGCTTTTATATGTCGATATCGCCAGACTCTACATGAGATCTCTTGGACTGTGTCCGTGACTGTGTCCGTTGAATCTCGTTTGCTCTTCCTCTCCTAGGTCTCCTGTCGCGGAGCTCCGCCACCCAGCCTTCTCCGACTGTCCTGCAGCCTGTTGTGTGACTTGTGAATCGCAGAAAATCTTTTTAGCACGAAACTGTTAATATGGCTTCAGTTATGTACCATTCTTCTGGAAGAGGTCGGAAAGTCAAGATCTGTGAGTAGCATCGCGATGGCTCACAGGGTAGGCGGTCAATGAGAATCTTTACTCTTGTATCAAATATAACAACGAAAAGTTGATCCACCAGATGATTTCTGTCCGCTTATCGCAATATCCGTCGCACAACCTCAATTGATGGTGATAAAAAGTTGCCTTGAGGCTGATCAAGGTGCAAGCGGCCAAGAGCGGAGGTGATGCCAATCTATCTAATTGAACCAGAACTTAACCAATCAACTCGCCCCTTTGAAGACTCAGTGTAATCAGGAATATAGTGAACTAGGGCTTTACAACTCGTCCTCCGGCCTTTGAAAGAGTGCCCAGCACATCCGGCAAAGCATGTTGCAGGTAAAATCCCTCCTAGCCATCGCTTCAGGGACTTGATGAACTACCACCCTGGGGCATCTGAATGAACAGAACTTGTTTCAGTCTTTTGTCACTTCATACTCTGAAGAGGCTGTCACAAACGTACCTCCTGCTTTGGTAGACATGTGATGCAGTGCGCTGCCACGAGGGTAGGCACAGCAAATGAAGGGGTCTTTGCATGCAAAAAAACCAAGGCCCGTGTCGTCTTGGAGCTACCCACATGAACAGCCGAGTTCTGGTGTTTCCTCGTACTTGGCATCTTGGATCCTTGCATATTCCGCAAGCTCGAGTTGCATATTTTTTGTTTCTATGATGCGGACCATGGCTGCAACGCTGAGTATTTGTTGTAGGCAATAGCTGCAACGACTTCGTTCTCGGGCTCACAAAATCCGAAAGGCTAGATAAATTTTGAATAGTAGGCTCAAAACAGAGGATTTCGAGACTGGCTAGGGAAGAGAAGAACTGGAATTTTGTGCTAGTGTTGGATGTTTTTGTGTTATGAGAGTAATGTGAGGATAACAGACGATCAAGGTTTGGGGAGCTGTTTGCTATTTGAGGTTCGTGATTCAGACTGCTCTATGAGCTGATCTTGTCCAGCAATTCCTAAGTTATCCGTGTGAAGTGCTGAGACGGGATAACAGGCTTTCAATCGGGTTTCAGTCAAAGACACTAACTCCATGATTTAGGAGTCAGTTACATCGCTGCGCGTAAAACAAAGACCACCAGGGTAGAATTATTTGCTCGTAAAGCATAGTCGTCACATATCTTATCGCAGAATGGTCTTCCGACAGCTAAAGCTTCGATTAATTATCTTCCTCTATTATGAGATGAGATGTATCTCACGGATACACAATACGTTCTACCCAAAACCCGACAAAATGGGTGGGCCACTAGGCTAGTGAGGCTAGAATTCGGGTTGCTTAGAGGAGAACAAAGAACCACAAACGGCTTCATGCCGATTTTGGACCGGGATGGCTGATCTTGCTTGAACCATGCTCAAAGGAACGAGAACCGGCAAAGCTAGGACGGATGCAGCGAATACAGCACATTATCGATCTGTCCGGAAATTCTCGCCGTGGAGACTGTTTGGCTGTCGTTGGCTGCATGTTCACTTTGAACGAAGACACACCCCTTCTCCACTCGAGCAATTGCCTGGTTTCACCACTGGAGGGTCAAAGAGATCAAGTCATGTTTGTCATCTTTCTGCTTGATTTGGCCCTATCAGAGGACTAATTCATCCAGTAGAATAATCTTCTCTGCGATTTGCCTCCTGTGTAATTTTGATCTCCTTTCTATCTATCCTACCATCATCGCTTTCTGGATCACCACTTTTTGCGCCTAAAAATCTGTCTGGAACTTCTCTGCCATCTCTCTACTTGTACAGTCTATTCTACCTCGTTGGGGTTATTCGCAAATTTTATTAGGAGCATCCTTGTCCTTTCGCACCACGCAAACTACGACACCATGTCAAGCAAAGAGCCGAATTTCCAGGTTGTCGAGATGGTGATCCATGGAAGCGAGGCATCTTCTGAAATGGAGATATATGACCGCGATCAGAGACGATTGATCAAAGCCAGGCTTAGGTCTTTGCCCTTACGAGCACATCCGAATGACTCTTATGATGACTTGGATGAGGAGGGTCGATCAGAACGACGTCAGCAGATCATCGCACATGTCATGACGTCGCTGATTGGCGTTCTTCCAGTGAGGTGACCTGCATTGACTTCACGAGCAATGCACAATTGGTGGCCGTGTCGACAAAGGTGGAGGATGATATCAACCCGTCCAACTACTATCCCCCCTTCGCTACGTATGAGACTGGTAGCCGAAATATCCGTACTGTTTTACGTTCTGAACTCACCGAGCTTGAACGTTTTGGCCCCTGTACAGACCTGGTATCGTACCACGAAGACGGCCAAGAAAAGTGTGTCGTATTTACTTACGCGATAGAGAACTGGAAACCAACCACAAGGCTATGGCAGCTCGCACATATCCTCATGAAGCTACCCATCCATCCCAACATTCCGCCAATTGATCGTTTCGTTCTTGAGGAAATCACAAAGGAAGGCGTTGTTGGCTTTACCACCAAGTTCATCTCTGGTAGCACATTCTTGAGCAACAGATCTCGTGTTTTTAAATTGAAGTGGATGCGCCAACTGATGGCCGTCATCGATGACTTGAATCTGAAATACGGTCTCATGCACCAAGATCTCACGGACCGTAATCTTCTTGTTGACTCCGAAACCGATACCATACAGGTGATTGACTTTGGTGAGGCGGTCCGGATCGGTGATAAGCGGTTCCGGAACTGCGAATGGTACCGCCCCGAACTCAATGATGTCAAGGGCGTGATCATCTTTCTCAATTCCATTATCACGGCCAACCCCAAGTATATCGATTGTCGTCTTTTGGAGGTAGAAGAGCCTGACATTGACGACCCGATACAATGGGTTCAGCACCCTAAAGTACAGCTCGATCATGAGGCTGCCGACTTTTGCAAAGAATTGAGGGAATGGGTCACGAAGCGCCGCTCGGGCACGCAACTCACTCACTTTACACAAGCTCCGCAATACCTCAATTGGCCCCAAGAATTTCCTCCTCGCCCACAAGAATCCGTGTTGGTGCCATATACAGAACGGCCGGAATATTCCCTACCATTCTCGCGGCAGGAAATCCTTGGCTTGGGGCGTCCGTATTTGGGGTGGGAGCGGCCACCAACCAGCCAGCTCGAGCCGAACCGGCGTCTACTCGCTACGGGGAGGTATGCAGATGAAAGGGGTTACGATTTTGGATACGACATAGAAGCTATCAAGGAGGAGACCGCCACCAAACAGTATGCCAGATCCCACCCTTCTGGCAAAAATCCCTTGGAGCATCTTTTCAACAACCTTGTAGAGAGCCAACCAGTGTCTGGAAAGAAACGTAAAGCATCTGATGCCGAGAACGGCGATAAACGTAACGGCATTCAGACCGCAAAGACTGGACCCAGGACTCGAGCTCAGGCGCGGGCTGAACGGATGAGAGTTGCCTCCGCGGAGCCGAGCTAAGAAAATGTTTAGCTATCACTTTAGTATAAGTATATTGCTATAGTTGCGAGGCTTTGGTTGTCCTTCATGATTCAGAGCAGCATGGGAGAGCACGCTGTGTCGTTCGAAATACGCGGGATGTCATAATTTCTCTGCCATTGTCTGTGCTTACCCATTTTGTCCTTTAGCTCGCAATGCCTGGATTGGAGTTGCGTCTAGAAAAATAGTGGCAAATCTATCTACTATTGACAAGTGGTGTATATAATACGAAGGTATATCCCGATAGCATTCCTATGTCTGCTTGCTGTGCACTTGGTGACCGGCATTAGTCGACTGTCTAAGCTTTTTCGGCGTAACCCGTCTCAGTGCTCGTATCCGGTCTACGGTTCCTGGATAGCGCTTTAGGCGGCCGTGCACTAGAAAGGCAGCGAATATTGATAGGCTAGTTATCATGCTGGCGGAACTCCGCCAGCGTTGAAAATAGAATTCCTAGACTTGAATCAGCTCCGCAACTGCATGATTCAGCTGCCACAAGTCACACGCAAGCTCAGTAGACGACTGCGAGCCTCTACAGGGCATATAATTCGCGGAGTTGCGCCAGCTCGAGGTACCGACAGCACGCTGCTCTCATCATTGCTGCCCCTGGCACCAAAGAATACTCCTCAAATTGGCAATCGAGATGCCGCAATCATTATCCGCCCTGGAACGTGGCAACCCGCCGCCTCGCAGAAAATCATGTACCAGCTGCATCAGAGCCAAACGTAGATGTGACCTCGGCCTACCCTCCTGCTTAAGATGCTCTCAACGAGGTTTGGATTGCAAGTATCCACCTTCGCAGACTTCTAAGCGCAAATCTACCAGGAATGAGCAATCTACTGATCCAGGGCCTCCTGATACACAGCCGGACCAGCCAGTGGACGTGTCTTCATGGGATCCTGAGCCACAGAATGTCACTCATTCAGGGACTGATGTGGCACTCACACCTATGTTGGCAAACCCTTCTCCGCCAATAGACTGCGGATTTAACATGTTCGACTTCCTCATTGATCCTGTCGAGGATCCATTGACCGAGGCTTATAATCCCCAAATGAGCCTACCGTCGGACCAGGCTCAACTTATCCCCTCTCCTTCATCCACAGTGTTCCCACGAAGGTTACAAAAGGACATCAACGATGTAGTTGCTTTGGCGGTGGCGACACGCTTGCAGTATAGTATTGATGAGCTTGTCAAAGCCCCGAAGACGATGATTAAAGAAAACCAAACGCCATGGTGTCACCATCGCCTCTATGAGAACGATATGCCGCGATCTATGCAAGGTCTGTTAATGAAAGATGCTCCATGCTAATTACCCGCCCCTACTAACGTTTATGTAGATGCATACTCGTGTTGTAGCCTTTATGCAGCAAAGAATCAGGTTAACTCTCAGACAATTTTACGTATAATCGAGAGCCGTGTGCAGGATCTAATTTCAACCCCTCTTCCGACTACGCGTTTAGAGCTTCTCGCTCGCGTCCACGCTCTTTTGCTGTATCATATCATTCGACTATTTGACGGTAACATCCAGGCTCGCGGGGCTGCGGAAGGCACACGCCCTGCTCTAGAGACAGCTGCAGTGGCTCTCCTGGATCACATCGACTTCGAGCACTTGGCTCCTGCAGACGCTTCTGGAGGCGACCCCTTGCCGTTATATCCATTGGCCACAGCACGGCAGTTCTGGCATGAGTGGATCTATCAAGAGTCGGCGAAGCGTACGTTCATCGTTACCTTCTTTATGCTACAGACATATCGGTACCTGAGTGGAGATATCCCGATGCAGTGCGACAGCAGACTCTATCGATGTTACTCGTGGACACTGTCGGCATATTTATGGCAAGCTGCGGATGCAGTGGACTTTGCCGTGGCGTGGAAGCAGAGGAACCACTTTGCTATAACGAGTACAAAGTATGTATATCGATGACCCCTTCTGCCATTTCTATAGGTGTTTTCAACATTCAAGTGTCACGAATGACTTTGCATGCACGATGCTAACTCAAGGCAGTATCATGCACCATTTACGGGATGCAAGAGCCGATGACGTGGATACTTTTGGAAGAATTCTCATCACGGCACTGATGGGAATTGATGAAGCCAAGGGGTGGTTTCTCACAAGAGGCGGCTCTCTTTGAAGAAAAACACAGCTTCTTACAGAAAGGTTGACTGGCAAAGACTTACCGGTTGGCACAATTTGTCCAACCTCCTACCGGGATGCAAGGCTTCCAGACCATACTTTAGTCATGAGTCTATAGAGCCAGTATGAACGTCGACTCTAGTTGCTAAAGTCTCGTGTACTAATTGTATTCGCGATGATGTCTTTGGGGTAGCTTGCTTTGTCTGAGGGCATAATCTAAAGGATTCGATCCTTCCCGAGCTAAACCGCCCTCTTACGAATGCCCTTGGTGCTTTGAAACCCCACAATTGCTGACAGGCTTCATCATTCCCCAATATAGCTTTCTAGACGGTCGCCAAGCTCATCCTTCGTTGCTGAGGGGGCAGCAAATGGCTTTGCCGCAAACTAACAGTGGCGATCACGGGAGCTTCTCGCACTTACTATGTCAATTTGAGATTGAAGTAAATAAAAAGGACCTATTCGCATTCAACGTTGACGTTAAAATCATCACTTATTTGCTCAACTAGAACCGTTCAAGGCGCCAGTATGGGTTCCACCGACGCGGTTGCTGCCATCCAGACGGCCTTTACGACCGACCAAATCCTTCTCCCTGGTAACGACCTATACGAGAAGCGCAATGGTTCATACCTCTCACAGCTCGAGGGCGATATCAAGCCGGCTTGCATTTTCCAGCCTAGGACAAAGGAAGAGGTGTCACAGTTCGTGAAGCTCATCAAGCCTTTTGTGGGGGATGGCAAGGTGGCTTTCGCCATTCGTGGCTGCGGCAACATGCCCGCCCCAGGCTGCGCGAACATCGAGGGAGGTATCACACTGGACTTGGGCCTACTGACCGAGCTGTCGCTCGGTGAAAATACCGTGTCAGTCGGCGCTGGAGTACCTTGGGCTGCCGTCAACGAGACCGTGCAAGATGCTGGGCGTGGCGTCACAGGTGGTAGAGCTGGAAAAGGCGGAATCGGAGGACTGGCATTGGCTGGTATGTCACTATATACGGCGACCTTTATTTGCAGAAATAACTGCTAACACATTTGTAGGTGGTCTGTCTTTCTTCTCGTCTCGCGAAGGTTTCATCTGCGACAACGTGTTCAGCTTCGAAATCGTGCTAGCTTCGGGTGAAATCGTAAATGCCAGCGCGAAGGAGAACTCGGACTTATGGAAAGCTTTGAAGGGAGGCTCAAACAACTTTGGCATAGTCACCAAGTTTGAGCTCCTCACGTTCAAACAGGGGCCTTTCTGGGGCGGCAATATTTACTACTTTCCTCCAAGTTTTCCTTCCCAGATTGATGCTCTGGTCAATGAGTTGCAGAAGCCGGACGCGGATCCTGAAACACATCTTATGGTGAGCATTGGGTATGCAGCACAATTTGGAGGATCCGCTTGCATGAATACGGTGTACTACACCAAAGAAGGAGTTGAGGATCCACCTGTGCTCAAGCCTTTTACTGCTATCGAGCCCCAGATCCCACAGCTCAATTCACTGAAGACGATCACTTTGACGGAAGCAGCTGCGGGTCAAGATGCAGGCGTGTCACTTCAAACGCGCTGCGCCTACATGAACCTGTCCGTCAAAGCCGATGCGGCGACTTTGAAAGCCGCTTCTGACATTTACACGGCGGCTTTTGAGCCTATAAAGGATGCAGCTGGCCTTATCTGCTCGCTGACTTTCCAGCCCTACGCTGTATCGCTCCTAGAACAGTCCGTCGCTAAAGGCGGCAACTCACTCGGTCTTCTGCCCAGGGATGGTGCTGTTGTATCAGTGCTCCTGCTGACATATTGGGGCTCGAAAGACGACGATGAGCGGATTATCGCTGCCTTTAAAGGGGCCCTGGAGAAGATCCGCGTGGTGGCACAGGAGAACGGCACGTTGCGCGACCATGTTTACCTCAACTACTCATTCAACTTCCAAGACCCGATTAGTTCATACGGCGAGGAGAATAAGAGATCATTGCAAGAAGTGAGTAAGAAGTATGATCCAGAGGGGTTGTTCCAGAAGGGCGTGCCTGGGGGTTTCAAATTATTTTAGAACATCAGTGATGTAGGACTATGCAAGGTCCAATAAAGATCATCTTTGACTGTTAAGCGCCGGCAGAAGGGCCGCCGAATGCCTCGCAGAGCGTCTGTCCAATAAACAGCTGTGCGGCTGAGGGAGGCGAAGCTCAGAGCCTTGCCATTATCTACGCGGTTCTTTGGTTTTCTCTCTTAACTTCTTGCAACCTTTAAAGTATGCTCTCATTACTGCGTGCGAGAAACGACCGGTCAAGTCAGCGCGAGAAGCTCCGCATCAATCAACGCCGCCGAATCAAACAATATGTCCTCGAGATGGTCTTTCGCAACTCTCTTCTTCCTCTCGACATGTGTGGATGCATACACTAGCTTCCACACGACTTGCTCGTTACCGGATACCTCCGCTGGCTACATCACTGCACCCGATACACGCGGCACTCTGGGGATTGTCTGGAGTTGTCTGTTCACTATCATAGCATGCACATGGACTATACAGCATCTAAATATACCATTACAGCGAGACAAAAATCAGAAAACAACTTCTAGTCTCGCTCGCCACTGGCGATCTGCGTTATGGACTTTGAGCGATTTCTGGACTAAGCTGAAATGGATGCTTTTTAATATAATTGCGCCCGAAGTAATCCTTGCAAAGGCAATTGGGGAGTTCCTTGAAGCAAGATACATTAAGAAAGAGATTGACGAGCTCGCCAAAAGCAACGAATATGGGATCGAAGAGTGGAGCCTCACCCATAGTTTCTTCTTGTTTCTTGGCGGGTTTCGAATCATGGTTGAAGACGAATCCCCAGACAAGGGGACGGTGACTCAAGATGTAGAGCCTGGGCAGGGTACGAATGTGAGAGATCCCCACAATGTCGAGTCCCATGCACAACAGAACACGGCCGAGTTGCCCTCGAACGTCACCAAAATTGAATACGTTTTATTTCCCAAATATCTTATTTGGCTGTTGCAAGATAAACAACTTCAAAAATTTCCTGGTGTCACTAAAGAGGAGATTCTCGATAAGAGCAAAGCGGATACATTCGTCAAAGCACTGGCCGTCATCCAGATATTCTGGGTATGCCTTGAGGTCATAGTTCGAAGCACCAAAAGCCTCGCAGTAACGCAGCTGGAACTTTCAACAGCAGCCTTCTGTGTCTGCACTATTCTCACATATATCTTTGTCATCCCCAAGCCTCAATCTGTCTCAGTTTCTTTGCCGCCATTTAAAATTAGCCAAAGCGCTCATGAGGCTTTGATGAATGTCGAATGGAAAGACGATCTTTGCCTCCGGGACTTCGTCATCTACCGTTCGAACGGATCATACTCCAACACTATAGGTCCAAATACTAAACGTGTCCCTAATGACTACTTGAGTATAAAATCTGTTGAGTCATTCTTCGGATACTATTTCGGGATGATCGTGGGCTGCGTTGTGTTCAATGGCATACACTTGGCGGCCTGGAACTTCAAGTTTCCTACTCCTACGGAGCAATTGTTGTGGCATGCAGCCGGCATCGTAGCCACTGCACTGTTTCCCCTATCTATGGTTGTGGTGGTAATTATTTCGATGACCAAGTGGGCGGGTGACGACCGGGGCGTATCCCACAATATGAATCTAATTTGTGGAATGGCCTATGTGCTTGCTCGACTGTTTCTTCTTGTGGAAACCTTCAGAAGCTTGGCCTTCCAACCTCCAGATACATTTAAGGCAACATGGATGTCAAACCTGCCTTCGATTGTTTGATAGTTGCTTTCTTGATGGAGCCAAGAAGAAGTGAAAGTCGAGCTGAGAAAGTGTTGTCTTGTCTACAATTTATATTCATTCCCTAGTAAATGTAAAAAGTCTTGAGCTTTATTTTAGTATATATAAAAATCAATTCTAATGATACTCCTGAGTATTCAATCTAATGGACAGCCAAACGAGACGTTGTCTGTTCTCCCTCTCCTCACATCCCCTCTTGGTCTTCCGCGATAGCCTTCTTGACTGCATCCCTAAGCACCTCCTTCTGATCTTCGCAGCTCAGCGCCGGATTCAGCATCCGAACCTTGACACACTCCATCAACATCTCGAAGGCAACATGACACTCCTCATTGTGCACGCACACAACCAGTGGGTCCTTGTCCGCGGGAGGCGGCAGTGCAGCTGCATCGTTGACCACAATGGCGGCGACCTCCTCCTGCCAGTTGCCTGCCACTCTCTTGTAGAGCTTCCGCTCGGCTCTGCACGCCTCCTTGTAATCTGAGCGGTGGAGACATTCACCTAGATCCAGCAAGGCCTCCGTGCAGGATACACAGTGATCTTCATCTTCATAGTCCGCGGTCATGAGAGAAACCATCAACTCCCGACGAGTGACGGGGCGGTCCTTGTCAGTGGGGGTGACGGAGACTCCTATCTTGGAAGTTGGAACGGCAGTCTTCGTGGGCTCAGGGTGGGCGTTGCGTTCTTCTTGAAACTTGATCCACGCCACGCTGAGAAGAGAAAGCAGGAAGAGGAGTATGCAGAGCAGGCCAGACGCGACAGCGGCGAGGGTCCAGAATCTGCGGACGTTGGATATGCGAGGCTCGCGCTGCCGGATCTGCCTGGCGTGGGGCCGCATGGCGACGTGTTCCTCTGTGTAATTCATGCTTTGTGGGATGTCCAGCGGTAGGTAGGCCATGGGGGAAGGAGGAGGAAGGGGGAAAAGGGGTAAAATGGAGAAACGGTGGGAGTCAAATCGGAAGAACAGAACCTTCAAATACCTCAACTTCTGGTCTCATTCTGGTAGCTTTGAGAATTGGCAAGTTAATTGATATCTACTACCATGGGCGACAACGGTGCCAACCGTGGACGACTGGGCGTTCAGGACCACTAGACGTTGAAGGAAACACATCCCGATCAAAGTTGTCATCCAGTGTTCCGGCCGTTATAGTTCCACAGAGCCGGGAAAGGCTGAAGACCACAACTCATCCATAACTAAACTAAGGTTGTCTCCCAAATTAGATTTTCAAATTTTCTAAATCGTTACAAATTCTAACTACCACTTCACCTTGGCCATGCTGCCCTCCTCCAGCAGCGCCTTGTGCATGTCAAAGGTGTTAAACAACAGATGGGGCTCGTGGCCCATTCCCTTCCTCAGGCACTCAAACTCGGCCTTCTCGAAGTACTCCTTCAAGATCGGCCTGTAGACCTCGTGCGCGCACTTGTCAATAATCACACGAGCACGCTCGCGCGGGCTCAGGCCCCGCACGTCCGCCAGGCCGACCTCGGTGACGATAACGTCGAGGTCGTGCTCGGTCTGGTCGATGTGCGTGCACATGGGCACGATGCAGCTGACGCCGTGGGGGTCGGTCTTGCTGGGCCGCGTGCTGGGCGTGTGCATGATGCTGTACTTGGAGCTGCGCAGGAAGTCGGCCGAGCCGCCCAGTCCGTTGAGCATGCGGCTGCCCATGACGCAGGTGCTGTTGGCGTGCGCGTAGATGTCGACCTCGACGGGCGTGTTCATGCCGATGACGCCCAGGCGGCGGATGATCTCGGGTGAGTTGGAGACCTGCTGAGAGCGCAGCAGGAGCTTGTCGCGGTAGCTGTCCCAGTTGTCGTAGAATCGCTTGAAGCCCTCGGGGGAGAAGCGGACGGAGGTGGCAGTTGCGAAGTCGAGCTTGCCGGAGTCAAAGAGGTCGAGGAATGTGTCCTGGATGACTTCGGTCCAGACCTTGAGATTGGAGAAGTTGGAGTCCTGGAGTCCTCCGATGACAGCGTTTGCGATGTTTCCGATACCAGACTGAAGAGGGAGCAGCGACTTTGGCAATCGGCCGTGCTTGACCTCGTGCTCGAAGAACTCGATTAGATGACCTGCAATTGCTTTCGAACCTGCATCGGCGGGCGAGTTCGGGAGCGTGTGATCCTGGTAGTCTGATTCGATAATGCCCACAACCTTCTCGGGGTCAATGGGAATTGATGTCCGTCCTATCCGATCCTCCACCGACATGATTAGGTAGGGTTTTCGGTTGGGTGGGAGATCCGTCATTGTGATGTCGTGCAACCCCTCGAAGCTGGGCAAAGACGTGTTCACCTCAATGATGATCTATTGACGTCAGCTGTGCTACCCAGTTGAGGCATTTTGAGGGTATCTCCTTACTTTGTCTGCCAACTGAATCAGTTCCGGAGTTGCGCCTACTGACGCACCTGGAACGATGCTGCCATCCTCCATGATGTCTGTCGCTTCTACCACCACCACATCAAGCTTGTTGTTCGGCCTGTCTTTCGTGTAGAAGCCCTGTGGAAGCTGTTAGCGGGGCAATTTCGCGGCCGAGCCATGGTAAAACGTACGTAGACAAGATCGACGGGGAACATGGACAAGTGCTTGTCGAAGAACTTGATCCGGCCCTCATTAATTCCCTTCGAGATCGCCTTGCCGACCTGATGAGGACTCCGGCGCTCGATCATGTCCAAAGCCGCCCATCTGTTCTCTGTCTCGGCGCCGGACGAGGCTCCAACGAATAGCGTGTATTTCAGCTGGCTCTGGAGGTTGTTCTTCTCGACGTGGTCGGCTAGGTAGGTCGGCATCTTCCTGTGGGAGAGGCAATTAGCTATCGGTATCTCCGGAGGTGGCCTCGAGAGGCCTCTCTTGGCGGTGGAGCGCCAATTGATTGTCAGGAGGCTTACTTTGGGTATCCGACACCTGTGAAGCCCGACCAGCCGATGTAGGAGCCATTGGGGAAGTGCTTGAGCATGTCCTCGGGGTGGCAGAGCTTGCTGAGCATCGAGGGACGCTTGATGCGCGCCTTGAGCGCCTGTGAGGCAATTGGCGCGGCCATTGCTGCTGCTGCTGCTGCTGCTGCTGCTGCTGCAGTCTAAATCGCGCGGCGTGGGGTGAGGTGAGGTGAGGTGAGGTCTGCCAAAGTTGGAAAAAAGGGAGCCGGGGCGCCGTCTATGATGTGGATGTGGTATCTTCGGTCTATATCTACAAGCCCAGCGAGATGCGCCCAGGGAGACAACAAGGCGCGATTGAGACAGCTCCAGCAAAGAGAAAAGAGAGTGGAAAGCAAAAGAAAGTGAAACACGGAAAAACTGAAGAGCGGAATTCCCCAGAGAGTCAATTAGATCAGCAGACTGGAGCTCTTGGTGGAAGCTTATATACTGCCACCAGCAAATGGAATGGGATCAGGCCATCCTACCTATGCGTGGCGCTCGCTGTTGCGTTGCTGCTGGCTCGGCTCCTGTCGGCGTGGGAGCTCGTGCTCGTGGCGGGGCTTCCGGATACCGTGCCCCGCGGTGGAGCACATTCTGATCACCAGCCACAGCTTCTTGGGATAAAGCCACACTTTGACTCTCTTGGACTTCCATAACTCGGCATTGATGGCATCTGTACATGGGGTCGATGAAAGTCAAGTGCGTCTATACAGAAGAGAGGTGGCGATCATTATAGAAAAGCAAGGCAAATACCATGGGCCATGGGCTGTATTCTACGCTGTCCAAGGTGCTTCCCACGTCTAAGCAAATCTATCAGCCACATCTCCGATCCACAGCCACACGGACCATCAACAAGCGGCCGAAGCTCGGCGTTTCTCCCGTCCGTTCATCCGCGCGCCTGCGAAATGTCCTCGGTTATAAGTGCGCTCTTCGTGGAGACAGCCAATAAAGTCCAATTTCTATTTGCAGAATGGGACCTGCTACTGCTCTATATAGTAGCTCTAGCCAGGAGACAGCTCTTGTACCTTGTGGCCAACCATCACTTATCAAGCATTGGCGCAAGGACAGTGAGTTGAGCTTAGCCACTGTGCTGTGTGCGCTGTTTCTATTGTTATTTTCACTACATTAACGGTATAGTCAAAAAAACCAATTTCAACCAATTGGCCGCTTGCCTATAACTCGCTCCTAGCAAGGGAGTGGAATATTCACCATAAATTTATACAGAGTTTCAACCCAAAGAACGCCGTTAGAGTTGTGTTATTTGTCAAAAGACAGTTCATATGGTGAAGCCTACATAGCGTTGATAGACACTAGCTTGTTGAGACTCTGCCGTCAATAGCATCCGCTGTCTCAATCATGCATGCTTGCCAAACGTCCACGATGGGAGAAACACCATAATCCCCTTGATTTGCTAACAATTTGCCGATTTGTGAGAGACATTAATTTGCACAATGCTTTCTATAATACTTCTTTTCTCTCTATGCTCGTGTCACAGCGATATGTTTGCGACTAAAACGCCTATGCCCTGAGTGTAATACAACCATCTCGATAAAGACAGTACTGAGCGATATGGTTCTCCAAATGCTCGAACGAGACTAAGCCGATCTGTTCAAAGGGAACGACCTTTATAGTAACAAACTCAGCTCCAGCCAAATCTTCAGGCATGATGGCTCTGATATTCGGATTTGTGCCACGAAACCCCCCGAATATCCTATAAGCTTGTTCCAGCAATGCCCAGTGTCGACGGCGACAAAGAGAATTGAGAGTTAACTCGGCAGATGGCATTGGAGAGATCTGCCATAGACGCATCATATTGTTAAGATCCATATAAAATGGTCCTTCCCTCTGCTGATGACCATCTCCACCGTTAATTAACTTGTATCCGACAAAGTGCATTGAGAAGTCGGCCCCGTGATCCAAGAACAGACCTATCATTTCAGATACCGCATTCCGTGGTTGACTTTTTTGAAACAGCTCAACGTTTCGAGAGAACTGTGAAAGACCCATCAAAAAGCATGACCACGTGGTCCATGACGGAACATCAAAGAATCCTTCTTCATCCATATCTCGGTTCCAGATTCCACACGTGCGTGGTGCTTCTGCATTTACATTGGACGCTGCACGAACAAGAAAGGGTTTAAACCCCTTTACGTCGTGACTTCCCAGAAAGATTGAATGTAGGTAGTGGAAAGCAGCGGCTAGGAGGATATTAGAGCCTTCATGGTAGGTTGGATTGTATAATGATTGGTCAGAAGATGCTATACTTAAAACTGTCTTCGCGCAGCCAAGGGCTGCCCCGGAGCTCAGAATTGCCGCCTCGATATGTTCCTGCTTGACTGGAAAATCTGATAGCGTCGCCGCCATATCCATAAGTGATACAAATATGGGTTGGCAAATAGATTGGAGATTGCTGAATCTTTCTCTTGCGAGCTCTTTAAGCATCGAGACCAATGACTGCAGCTCGTTGGAGAATGGAGGAAGACGAGCAGCCTCTGCACGTTGACATATTGTGAAAAAGTACTTCACGAGAGCATCTGTTATATGACCCCCAAAATGGCGATATTGGAGGCTGTATCGAAGGCGTTTACAATGCCAGGAATATGGACTACAGTTTGTCTTCTCTAGGTCCACAAATTTGATAGTTGAGAGTATGCCCCATATTGAAGCTTGATAAGGGCAAAAGTTACCCGCGGCACCACACAACTCGTTCTGTATGTCTGCATCCAAAAGGAAATCGCCCACAGTCCGATGCGAAAATTGAATCTGGTGGCACCGTGGAAAGCTCAGAGTAGACGTTTGAGCTATCTCGACTAATCCTCGACATCTGGCTATGACCCGGGCGCCGACTGCGTGGCACATAGCCTGACACTTTGCTGTAGTATATCGCTTCCCCAGCTTCCCTGAAACAAGGGAAGTTTGGAAATTGGGTTGATCCAGCATATTGTCCAGGACTGCTTGGGTGTAGCAAGTCTGGACTGGCATTGTTGGCCATAAAGATGTCATGATCAAAAGAGTCTGTGCTACTCTCCTACGCTCGTCTTTCTCGACCGAATCCATCATTTGGCGAAACATGCCACTCAGGCCCTGGGGTGCACATTCCAGTTTCTCACGGAGCTGGGACACCGAGCACTTGTCACCAATACCTTTTAACATGGATGTTGTGACAAGTCGCACCCATAAAAAGACGCCGTCGGCCTTGTCCACAATGGCGTTGATGATATGCCGGAAGCCCTGAACATCCTGTTCCTGAAAGGCTGCAAAGCGTTCATCAAACTCGCTGCGCACAAAGCGATACATATCGTCTCGTGTCAAGTCTTGTAGTTGCACATGGCTTTCTGAGTTCGTGGCGAATCTCTGCATAAACTCGGTGTAGGGCCTGCTCGAGAGACATAGCTTAACACCATTTGAAAGGGCTGCCCATGAGCTTAAGCCTTTCGCGAGTTTCCAATAGTCTCCTTCATATTCATCTAGACCATCGATGAATAGACAAATCTTGTGAGTGCCGAGCAGGCCATGTCCACCAAACAGGTTATCCATAGCACGCTCGAGATCGGCCATTTCAAATGGCTGGTTTGCCATTTGATATTTGACGTTTACAGACGCCTTCCAAATCTTTGGAAATATCTTGGGAATCATGTAAGGACACTGGCGAAGAACATCCCAGAGAATTGCTCGATATAAGCCTTCAAGAGTTCTCTGTAACGGATCTCCGGAGTTCCAAAAGAAGAATGACGCAAAGATCAAAGTCTTTCCATCGGACTGAGCCCATTGTTCAAGACTGTCTCTTGTTTTGCTGGAGTGTGCGACAAATTTCATGAGAGTCGATTTCCCAGATCCAGCCTTGCCAGATATGTAGAAGACCCCAGTGCCGCTAGAGAGCCATTGAAGAAATCGACGTCGGACAACTTTATACCGAAAACAGTCTTGGTTTGAAGAAATGCTTAAGTCCCACGAGCTTGTGATATAGTATGACGTATCGCTTTCGGCATCAGAGTTATGTTCTACATTTAACAGTTCGTCGGCAGTTTCTTCCAGATCGTCTGAATCCGAAACTTCAGAGCGGGAATCTACAGATAACTCATCTTCAGAGTAAAGCAGCCATCTATAAGTTCGGTTGCGGGCGTCCTCCACAGTCCGTTCTCGAGCACCGAGATGCGGAAACCATAACCTCTGTAAGATCTCATCTTCGCGGGGGATGGCATGCGCTGCATTGGATATCTTGATGAGAGACCGATGAATCTCTGTCAAAATATCGATTGTTGCTGATAATACCGTCTCGTTTGCATGTTTATTCAACTCAGACTTGATTGTAGCAGTGATATAGTCTCGTGCTTGGCGAATCTGATTCCTCGTCTCGATCGCGTACTCCTCTTGCGCTTTTATTGACGACTGAAGAAAGGTATAAGTCTCGGAGACTTCGTCACTAGCCGTTCTTCGTGAGTCATTTAAGCAATATGGAAAGTGAAGTTCAAATACCTCATCATGGTTAGAAGTTGGCCGAGGACTTCGGTTCTGTATCGGTCTAATCTTGATTCAATCGAGGCTAGCTTCCCTCTCTGTCTTAGACCTTTCCAAGAAGCCTTCAAACTCGAAAGCCTGGACCCTGGTTTCTTGGCCTTCGTCGTCTGTATGACCGCTAGAAGATCATCTGACAGTCGTTCGCAACCATCTTTAAGTGCAACAAGCCTCTTGTCCTCGGTTGAGAGAGAGCCATGCATTAGAGGGACCTTAAGTCGTCCTGTGAGAGACCTGAGATTGCCAATGATGACATCGCAGTCGCCCATTGCTGCTGGCATTCCTGATGTTGAGGAATAGATCTCGCTAGCGCCAGTTACCAACTTCGAAGAGAAGTCGACAAACTGAACGATGGCGCTGGCGAGTCCGATTGCTGCCAAGGTCTTCATTTTGTCTGCAAGGATGTAGCTCCGGTCTGTACAGTGAGCTGCTGGATATCCGACGGGGCCTGCGTTGAGTGAGCAGCAAAGCTCTCAAAGACAAGCTAAGAATGCTAATAAAAAGGGCACAAGTGGTTCAGCATTCAAGTACGGAGGGGGCTCTAGAATTGATCTTGCAATTTTCAACTTTATATGCAGATTGTTGCCCAACAAGGCTGCGCAGTTTGGAAATAAGTACATATATCAAGAGCTGCCTGGCACGTGATGGCAACTGTCCTGGTAAATACTCTTCATTGGGCAGACTTGCAGGTAGCTGAATGCCAAGTCGTGATGCTCGTTTGATGGCAGGCAATAGCCAATCAGGATGCTTTTCCGCTGCTGAGAATCGTTGGCAGTTCTCTCTCATCAAAAATGCAGCAAAACGCCGGGTGTGAGAAATGGCGTAGATCACATAATAGGTTGCGCATAGTGCTGATCATCAATGGGCTGGTAGATTGTCTTAGTTGTGGGATGGGTTGTCGAGTTCAGCTAGAACACTGTCAAGACACTCCTGAAAGCCCTCTTCCATAGGAATCCAACCATCCTGACCACCCCACTTTTTGAGCAGTTGCTTGGGTAGGGTATCGTCTATCTTTGTCTTTATCATACCCATGTTAGGGAGATCTTCAATGAACTTTCTCTCTGGATACTTCTTGCGCCACATTGCGAGAAGAGTGTTCCAGTTGAAGGGCGTGCACCATGCCTGAATACGGGCGTCCTTGACGTCTGGGTCAATGAGCGCTGCGATTTCCACTAGTGCCACGTCTTTGACGTTTACGTAGTATACTAAGTAAAAGCTGCGCATTAGCTTTTGAATCGAGCTATAGTATCTATATTCGCGCTGAACTTACGACCCGGTATGGTTCCGATATAACTGGTGTCGCCCTGGTAGAGCCAATTCACCCAGCCAGGCAGGTTCTTGTTCACGAAGCTTTTGTGAAGAATTGGCCCAATCAGGGTGTATGGGCTTACCGCATTGACAACAAAATGTGGCTTTTCCTCTGCGGCGAACTTCCAAAAAGCTTTCTCGGCTGCTGCTTTGCTGGCCATGTAGACGATACCACCAAACATCGGATTGTCTAGCTGCGGCGCTTGCACAGCTGCTAAGGCAAATTCATTCCATGAATCGCGCCCAACAAAGCTGGCTTCATCTGTAAAGGGGTTTGGCATAAATGATGCCACGGAAGAAGAAGTGTAGACGAATCGTTTGATGGTTGGTTCTCGACTTGCAGCCTTAAGCAGGGCAGTAACGCTGCCTACAACAGGCGGAATGACATTGTCGGGGTTTGGATCAAATGTCTGGATGGTGGCGACATGCATAACTCCATCCACACCCTTCACAGCAGCCTCATAATCACTATCTGATGCTGTAGTAAAGTCGAGGGCAGCAAGCTCAAGGTCACCTCGTTGCGTGGCTTCTGCGAACATCTCGTCGGTCACCCATTTGGCAGCAGAAGTGTCTCGCACCGTGCCTCGAACTTTGAAGCCGCGGTCCAGAAGCTGTTTTGCTATATGACCAGCAAGAAAACCAGCTATACCGGTAATCAGGATCTTAGAGCCCTTAGGTATGGCGATTGGTAGGTCAGACATAGCGAGTAGCTGTTTATTTTCACTGACCGATTGATGCTTGTCTCTGCCACGAAAGTAATAATAGCTAGGCAAGAACATGATGCCCTTTATAGGACTTCGAAGTCTCCTTCTTGTTCTGAAGACGTGACCCATGTTAAGTCAGTCCTTCAGCCTCGGGATTTGCCAAGCCCCGACGATAGCTCTTCGAAGGAAGTATCTTTATTGAGAAGATGGTCTTCACCTAGCCCTCAAAGTACCTTGTACAGCGAGTGGGTCTTTTGATTTGCACAGCGTGCTAGGGTTTGCGCAGCGTGCCAGGGTTTGCGGCCGGCCATTGACAAGCCCAATTCCGAATGAGCTAAGCGGTAGGATTCTCTCTACATTAGTGGACGGTTTCTTCCACCCCTCTCAGAAATATCCTCTTTGGGAATGTGTAAAGCTTGCCACCTGACTTCGTACATACACGCACTTCACAGAGTCACTCCGGCCACCAGGGACTAGGGACGTCATTCATCTTCTGTCTCCCGGAGATTATGTGTGATCTTTTTAGGCTACTTTACAATTTCTCCTTTCAGAAATAAAAAGAACGGCATGGTTAAGCGTCGGATATACCTGCACTATCATGTACACCAAGTTTAGGCCCTGGAAGGCGGCGAAACGGATACGGACGACCGATGCGGCCGACGACACTACAAACATTATTCAGCATGTCCGAGCCATCACGGACCGGGAGGAAGAGGCGTTCTCATCCCCTGCATTGCGGTTCGTCAACACAAGTCACCCGAGCGAGGCAACGTCAGTCGAGGTAATTGGCACAATCCGGTCGCATGTTGCGAGGGAAATCCACGCTACTCGCCGCCACCGAAAGAAGGTCGCTACGCAGGCTAGATCAGATCCGAAAACCCGTACGAAGGAGCTCGGTTCTCCTGGCAGTCCCAGAAAGGAAACTTCGGTATGCGGAGATAACTTAGACGACAAATCCGACGCCGTATACCAACCGGATCCGCGGGGTCGACACGGCCAGCTACCCAGTCCGGCTACCTTGCTCGACTCTGCTCGACGAGATCAGCTCAATCGCCTTGCCAGACCACTCAATGATGCCGAAAGCTTTCTTATTGACCATTGTGCGTTGTTTTCAAAGAGTCTTGAAACTTGTTCTTCTCAATTGACAGTAGCTTAGACCTCACGGTTATAGCGCCTGAGGCTTTCGACCTCAATAATGAAGCTGCCGCAAAGGTGGGCTCCGCATGGGTTCCGTTTGCCCTGTCGGATAAGGGCCTATTATCATCCCTTCTTCTTATAACATGCCGGTGCTTAGAACTACTCAGCATTGATAGCTGGCATAACAATCCACTTGACAGCATGGCCGTACGATACAAAGGGGATTGTCTGCGATTCATCAGAGCCGCGCTTCACGAAGAAGGCACCCTCGTTAGCACGACTACAATAGCTAGGGTCATGGTATTGTGCTCTTATGAGGTAAGCTTTTCGTGGTACTTGAGCCGTGCTAGACAATAAGACAATACTGACTAGTGTTACAGCTGAAGTTCGGAGACAACGATGTCGCTCGCTGCCATGCGAAGGCTATCGCGAAAATGGTCGAACTAAGAGGTGGATTCGGAACAGTCAGCAAGGAAGGCTACGCAGGCGAGGTCATCGCTTCCTTCTGCGCGAAACTAGAAGCTTGGTCTGGCAATGCCATAGCACAACCTCCAGCCGTGAATGACTACTAGTTCACTTCATGAGCGTGGTTCCTTGTCTCTAGTGCAAGAATCCAGGGAAATGGAAGGCAACTGAGCAGCATATATATCGAAATTGGTGCATTGTGTCGTGGAGCACTACTATCTCAAGGGCACAGAGAACTCTCAAGGCATGCGTTCTTTGAACCTGGCTTTTGCATCTGTGGATGTGAGTGCATCACCGGCATCTTCAGGGGTTCCAGTAATTGCTTGTCAAGGGTTGGCACAACGGCAGGAGATGACCAAGCCGCATTATTGGTTGTCATTCCAACTAACCATTACATAATCCAGACAGCTATTTCAAGGCCTATACCTGCTTTGGTTCTCGAATTATCGCTAGTAATTTAAAGGCTTTTTAATTGCGTTGGCTCATCTGAACGATTGTTGAGGCATGCATGTAGCTCGCGGTGCGAGTAAGAGCTTCTCCATAAGGTGGTCGAGAGCGTTCAGGGCCAAATATTCAACTATAATCACTCTTCGAAAAATACTATCCTTGTTTCGAAAAAGACCTCGTTGGGTAACAGCAGCAGCTCTTCGTACATGATGGCTGAACATGCTCATTGGCCAGGGATGGCACCTGTGTGTCGATACACTGTTTCGCTAGCTGCTGCTCATAGAGCTGCCCGTCCCACAACTCCAGCGGAGTCGGAAGTCATCGCACTCACTTTTAATCCGAGCTCAGAGGCGCAGCACCACCAACTAGAATCGAATGTTGACGTAATCCCCGAATACGTCGGCTGCGTCGCTAACCCTTTGTCTCTCGATTCCTCACACTTCGGTCAATTGATTCTAGTAGTTCGCGATGGCCGACGACATCGAGACGAAATTCCAGGCGGCCATCGATGCGGGCAAGATCAACGGCGCTGTCATTTGTGCTACCGATGCTGCGGGGCATTTTGTCTACAACAAAGCACTGGGACAACGCACCTTACTCTCAGGCGAGAAGGTGCCGCAACAGCTAGATGACGTGCTATTCCTGGCGTCTGCCACCAAGCTGATTGCTACGGTCGCCGCGCTGCAGTGTGTCGAGGACGGCTTGCTGACTCTGACCGGCGATGTTTCCCCCATTGCCCCAGAACTGGCTGCTAAACAGGTCATCACTGGCTTCTCTGATGATGGCGAAACCCCTGTACTCGAGCCAGCGGTCCGCCCGATTACGCTCGAAATGCTGCTCACGCACAGTTCGGGGACCGCTTACGACTTTATAAACCCCATCGTTGGTAAATGGAATCAGAAGTTTAACAAGTTCGAGGAAGGGAAGCGCCGGCCGGTCGAAGAGTCGTTTTGCTATCCTCTTGCATTCCAGCCTGGTTCTAGCTGGATGTATGGTACAGGACTCGACTGGGCCGGACGCCTCGTGGAGAAAGTTACCGGTCGCACCCTGGGCGAGCATGTCCAGCAGCGTATCTGCAACCCACTGGGTCTCAATTCGGCTCAGTTCTACCCGGTAACGCGTGAGGACCTTCGGGCCCGTATGGTTGACTTGAACCCGGATGATCCAGAGGGCCTCGGCCGTGCTCCACTCGGGGGAGGCGGGGAAGTGAACAAGCGTACGCGCGGTGACTTCGGCGGTCACGGCCTGTTTATGCCCGGTGCCGATTACGTCAAGGTATTGCACTCGCTACTTGCAAACGATGGCAAATTGCTCAAGCCTGCCACCGTTGATGACATGTTCGAGCATCATTTGAGCCCCGAAGCAACGGCTGGGCACCAGGCTGCCCTAGTAGGGCCATTGGGCGTTTTCTTCCGGGTAGGTATAGACCCCGGCACCAAAGTTGGTCACGGCTTGAGTGGTGTCTTGCTCTTGGAAGATGTTGATGGATGGTATGGAGAGCGTACGTTAACCTGGGGCGGCGGCCTGACCCAGACCTGGTTCATTGACCGTAAGAATGATCTCTGCGGGATTGGTGCTGTCCAAGCCGCCCTCCCGGTAGATAGCCAGGAGGTGGAAGTTCTCAAGCAAACATTTCGCCGAGACATCTATCGCAAGCATAGCGAATGGAAGAGACAGAATCAGCCATAATCACATTAAACTTAATGACCTCTGTTCCGGCTCGATGGGTCTCGAGCATACTCAAAAAGCGGTTGTCATGATTCAGCATGACAATCAATGAGGCAACCGAAACATTGAGAGGCTGAAGATTGGAACCTTCAGGAAGCAATAAATACGCGTGGTTTATGTGAGACTATGTGGTTGTATCTAAGCCTTTGAATCGATAGCCTTTGCATCCTGGACCACAACATTAACGCCACCGTCTTTGCCGTCGAGGACCACGACGCTATCACCACTGTCAAAGAGCATGGATAATTCTTCGAGGGAGTAGCCCTTTGTCTCCGGAAAGAAGAGATATATAAGTACCAGCCACATGCAGTTCAGTGCCAAGAATACAATATAGTAATAGTAGCCGATGGCTGCCAAGGCAATCGGATTCACATACATATTGATGATCAAGGCAATCTGTCCAACGAAGTTTTTGATCGCCAATCCTCGAGACCGCATGTAGAAGGGCATGATCTCCGTTGTGTAGCTATACAATAGCGGATTGCAAGCTACGTTGTACATAATGTCGAAGAGAAACAGACATACGATCACACCGTACCCTTCATTGGGGCTGCCCTTAGTTGCATATACTGCACTAAGAGCAATGAAGGGCACAAAGATGACGATCATACCGATGTAAGATGTAAGCCAAAGCTTACGCCGTCCAATACGATCAGCAAGGATAGCGCCGATGATCGAGGAGATCAAGTTGATAATGTTGAGGCCGCCATTGATACCAGTTCTATACAGCCGGTTAGTGAGTGGTCCACAATTACATTGTGATACGTTGATGAGGCGAGCTTACTGTGCAGTGGTAGCCGTGACCCCAACACTATTCAAGATGCTTGAGAAGTAGAATGTGATGATATTTTGTCCACACCACAGAGTCATAAGTACCATTGTTACCACAATGAAGAGTCTGTGTAGATTTGCCTTGTGTGTCAATAGAGCCTTCCATGCGACTCCTTCTTTTGCTTGTTCAATAGCCATCTGTATCTCGGCAACCTGCGTAACAACGACTGCATCATTTGGGTCGCCATTTCCATGGTATTTCGCAATGATTTCAGATGCCTCTGCATCTCGATGCTTAGATATAAGCCAACGTGGACTCTCCGGAACAAAGTATACCAGTGGTAAGACACAGCAGGGAATGAGGGCTTGTAGCAGAGATGGGATCCGCCAGTTCCATGTTTCTGTAGGCGTCATATGGCTCGTGCCAAAACAAGTCCAGGCTACCATGATAGAGCCTAGATACCAGAAGGGGTTGAAAAAAGAGACAAGTGTGCCCCTGTATCTCGGGTGGGCAAGTTCACTCAACAGCGCGGGGCCGGCGCAAGTGACGAAGGCAATGCCGAAGCCTAGAATGAAACGAGACCCCATATACTGGCCTCTTCCTTGAGAGCCTGCTTGAAACGCAGCTCCCACGATCGTGAAGAATTGGCCGGCTGCGAGTCCCCATTTTCGGCCACTATCGTTTATCAGTTGCATATTTTCACAAACTTGAGATTAGATCGACGTACAACTTATCCGTGATTAAGGATGCAGGAAAGCTGCCACATAAGCAACCAATGAAGTATATGGCCGTGATAGCTCCTAATTGTGATGAGTTTGGCGTTCCCATTTCTATGATCCTTTAGTCACCATAAGTTGTTGAGCTTCTTTCAGTGGGGCGCCTACCTTTTTTCCATTGTTTGAAACTCTGTAGATTGGCTGTTAAGGTAGCATCAAAGCCCGTACAGACTTGAGTCAAGTAGATTAGGGTGATTGGCACCATCAGCTTTCGCACACCGGCATCACGGTACCAGGGAGGATGATCCTCAGTGGCTGCAATGACAGCTGACGGGGGCTGCTGGGCCTGCTTTCGAATCCTGGAGCTTGGTCGAAGCATATTGAATGGTATGATATCGTAAGAGAATCAGATTGTGGCCTGATTGAAAGAAGAGTTACGACGGAGTATGGAACACGACCGTATTGTCTGCCAGGACAAACTGCTCGACAAGTGGACGACAGCGCCTTTAGTATGGCAATTTACCCTGCAATCGTTGCATAACCAAACACACACCTTGAGCCAGGCGGGAAGATAAGGAGTATGATTGCCGAAGAGTTTCGACTTCCCTGGCCAACCACCCTTTAGCGAGGCGCAAGCATCTTCGACTCTAGTCTCCGTCTAGTCATGATAAAACCTATCAGATAACAGGCTGCGCTCCCCGGATTTTGATAGTTGCGATATGCCCAAACCAAGAACGAATCAACTGCGCGCTGATTCGAGGGTAGAATCTGCGCCGGATCTTCAACCGAGCACTTGAAGGCGGGGGCGATACTTGGGATGAGGTCTAGTGGCGTTGATAGGGGGTTTACGACGGAAAATCACGATACGACGGGAAACTAGTAGCTCTGGTCTATGCTGCTAGTCTTCACTTAGTCTAGTTGCCCCAACCTGATAGATGCGTAGCTGTGTAACTCGCGTCATAGAACCCTAAAATTGCATAACACTGTTAATGATAGTGTAATATTCTCCCTTATCCCATGTGTTCCTGTGAAGACATCTTTGCCACCTTACTATGCAGACCTAAGGATATGCCGTCGCAAAGCCTGGCGCTATCCGAGAGGAGAACGGGTACATCGCTTGAAGTCGAGAACATTGTACGTAGTAACGCGAGCAGAGAGACAAGAAAGGCCCAAGACATCAGTTCAGAGTATTTTACGAACAGAGACTCTCGATCTTTCAACCTCGACATCAATAAGTCGACCTCAGTCTTCTTTCAATCCTCTCAATCACCGACAGCATGGCTCCAAGCGCTATCGAAACCATCGCACCACCTAAGATCCGCACAGCGCCAATCGCTAGTGTCATCACGTAAGTGAGAGAATCAGAGTTACCCAAAAACATACATGAATGCTGAGATGGCCTGACAGTCCAAAATACAACGACTGGCGATCGGACCTACAGAAGAATGGTTGGGCAATTGTGAAGGGGGCGATCCCGCACGACCGTGCAGTGTCCTACCAACAAAGAGCATTTGAATGGCTCCAGTCCTTCGGCACAGCTCTCGATTTCGAGAATCCTGATACTTGGATCAAAAGCAATCTTCCAGTGATGAGCAAGATCAACACCTTTCATGCATACGCTGTGGCTCACGAAAAGTTCATGTGGGACGCACGCATGGAACCCGGAGTACTAGATGCTTTTGCTAAGATTTGGGGCACTACGGAGTTACTTGCTAGCTTTGACAGCCTAAATATCACTTTGCCTAACCGCAAGGACGTACCGAGGAAGCCTGCATGGGAGCATATCGACCAGAGCCCTCTACGAAAGGGACTACATTGCGTTCAGGGCATCCTCAATCTATCCCCTTCCGGGCCGGAAGACGGAGGACTGGTTGTTTATCCCGGATCGCATGCCGTGATGGAAGAATTCTTTAAAACACAGACTGATGAAGCAACATGGAATCCAATGGACAGATATATGTTCACCGATGAACATTTGGCATGGTTCAAAGCCCGGGGTATCGTGCCACATAAGGTTTGTGCCGAGATAGGTGATCTGATTGTATGGGATAGCCGAACCATTCATTATGGATCTGAACCAACAGAGAAGAGCTCCCAGATCAGAACGGTCATCTATGCAGCTTATACCCCGGCGAAGTTAGCCAGCCCAGAGCAATTGGCCCTAAAGAAGGAGGTCTTTGAAGTATTTGGAGGCACTACCCACTGGCCTCATGACAACATAGTACGACGAGCCACCGAAACGTACTTGGAAGATGGCACAAGAGATCCTAGAGATAGGGACCGACCTCGAGAGATGCCGGAGATGAGTGATAAGCTATTGAAGTTGGCTGGCGCGAAGAGCTACTAAGCTATACACATGGTGAGAGCCGTCGTATTGCAGCAGCTATTGATCAAAAGACAGGACTTTAAGTGTTAGAATAATACAAGCCCAGGAGTTCTCGTAGCCACTAGTTCTTCCCATTGCACAATTTCTCTTCGATTGTATTGCCTCCATATCTCATCCAAGATCTGGTGAGCTGCCAAAACATTGCCGAAACCAATAGTTCGTTCCATTATATTGATCTGGTATTCAATTGTTAGTCTGCTGGCTTTGGTTGTACAGCTCGTTCCAGCTATGAACAATGGAAATAGCAAATGTGACTCTGTCCGTGATCCAGGTCGGATCAGAGATACTGCTGAAATAATATGATCTGTCGGACCTTTGAAGTGAGCGTCCCGACTGTCGGTGTTCTCTGGCGGCATCAACTGCCGTAAACGTAACATGGTTGCCCACTGGATCGCAAAGGCAGCCGCCCTTGCTTCGCTCATATCTAAGACCGTACCGTCATTAGGCTCGAGTGGTACCCAGCTCTGAAGTTGAAGCTCTATAGCCTCGGCCTCTGTCTTAAAATCTTCATAGTTCATGATAAGTTGTGAATTACTAGCATTCATGGTGGCGAGTCGATTGATGCGGACAAGACACTCATATAATTCGACGGCTATACCAAAGAATGGGTGGATCGCCCCTCCGATTCTGGAGATCCCCAGCTTTAAGGTCTGTCCAAATGGCTGAGGGACATTATCGGATGTCATTGATGCTATGCAGCATAGATAGTTGTATAACTCAATGAGAAACTCGATCGAAGGAGTAAGAATCTCAGCTGCATCTACATTTGATAGGAGCGCTTTTGCGCCATGCAGATATAAGAGCCATTTTCTAGAATCCCCAGCGCATATCTGTGACATATTAGCTCCGGAACACAGGGAGAGCTCATTGAGTTCATTAGACAAAAAGGACAAACCTCCGTCAAACACATCAGTAAAGTTGCAGCAAGTGCCCATGTAACAGTTTGATGTTCTTTCAGTTCAACCTTCAATGCCTCCAGAGCGCGACTTCGGTGAAGAAACAGGTTGCGTTCAAAGTCCGGGTAGATTTTAGCCAGGTGGCAGGCAGACAGCGCTGTGAGGGCATGGCGCACTAGAGGGCTTTCTAAAGCCATAGGCACAATATCGGACAGGAATGGATTGTCCTGGTCTTGTACCATGACTAATGATCGAGCCACTGATTCAAGAAAGTGGTTGAGAAGGTGTCTTTCACCAGTAGTCCAGTCTTTCAATGCGCGATGCGTGATGCCGGCCAGATTAGCCAAAGCTGTAGACGGGAACGAGACGCCATCGCTTGGGGGAGATTCATCACTTGCTCGAGCATCTGGTAAAACCTCAAGAGCACTACTGTTCGCGAGATTTGATACCCCCGCCGAGTCTGTAAGATATTCTTCATGGATAACTGAAATCCAGTCGAAAAACTGGCTCTCCGATGAAGAAGTGGCCGTGCCAAAATCACTGACCCGGACCTCCCTCTCGGAGGACGGGGATGAATCGGCGCTGAGGGATGGCCGGCGACGAATGCACCGCAGTCCGAGCCGGACGCAGTCTCCACATGTCGGCCGTTTCTCGTCGCATTTCTTCCGGCGTGCTTTGCAATTTGTGCAGCCCCTGGACGACTTGGAGTGTTGGTGCCTGGACTTGCGGCCTTTTGCTGCGGGCTGACGCTGATTGTGGGTTCCCAGGGCCAAGTTACCGAGGCTGCACTGCAGTGATAACCGCTTGCATCGCGCACAAGGGGCTTCTTTGGAGCATACCGTTTTGATTGCAGCGCATGTCTCACAGGCTGTCCTTCTTCGCCCCATCGAGACAGCGAATGGTGTGCACGGTGGTTCTAGGAAAGCAAGGGCGGGGTAGGCCAGCGGTTTATACGACGGGATATCGAATGCAACTATGCAAAAGACTAGGTTAGCTTCCTGGAAATTCATTAATTGAGGCATAACGTCTGCTCCGTCGGGCATGTGGGTACGCTGATCGGGAAGCACTGATCTCCCGCTACAGCAGACTGCTCCACAGGATCATGGGCT